CTCTGGGTGGGGGTCTGCTTCTGTGATCAGCACAGAGGTGCATGGCAGGCTGTCCTGTGCGTCCCTCCTCTGATCTGGGTGGTGGCCTTCCTCTCCAGCTCATTTACTTGAAAATTGCTGGGATGTTGTTCCCGACCTCTGACTTCTGGCACCCGGTCATCACGCCTGCGCTGCTGTGCTTGAGCCAGCTCCTCACTAAGGTACGTCAGACCGTCCCCATCAGAGCCAGCCCCGCTTGGACTGAGCAAGGGCCGTGACTGAGCAAAACTCACCTGCAAGGGCCTGTGAACATGACGGGCCGGCAGTACCCCTCCCAGAGCCCCTCCAGCCAGGGCAGCAGGGCATGACCCCAGAAGACGGTGGTGCGGCCCCCCGTCAGGCCCCTGTCGGCCTTACAAGTCCGACTTGTTCCCTCTCGATGGGCATGTGGTCCGTGCCCATGTACTGTGGGGGTTATAACTGGTTCCCCACAAGCGCTGGACCTCGTGGTCACAGAGCTCCGTCTCGTGGGCCCCTCGCCCGCCTCCGCTCCACTGCGGGGGCCACGGTCCTGAGGAAGCCGGGTGCCTGCCAGCGTGGCGTTCCGGAACATTCCTGACCAGCCTGCGCTCTTCGCCAGTGCCCTGTGCAGTCACTGCAGGACGTGGTCAAGGGACTCTTCGTGTGCTGCGTGTTCCTGGACTACGTGTCTCTGTCCCAGAGGTTCATTCCTGAGCTCATCAACTTTCTCACTGGGATTCTTCACATGGCGACTCCAAATAAGCAGAGCCAAGGTCAGTTGGTTCCAGGGAGCCTTTTCAAGTATATTGTGCTTCAGCGATTTAAAGACTCTGGAAGTAATTCATAGTCAAAGAAGTAGAAAGCTCAGAGCATGGGAAAGTTAAAGATGAAAGCACTGTCGTCCAGAGCAGCCTTTCCCCTCGTGGGCACACGCCCTCCCTGTGAAGTCAGGGTCACACTGGGTATGTTGCGCACGTAGCCACTCCAGGTGGCATGAGTGAGTGGAGTGCGGGCGAAGAATCCCCAGGTGGCAGACTCGGCGCCAGGAGCGTGAGACCGCAGTGTTCTGGGTTGATCCTGAGTGGAAGTAGTATTGGGGGTGGAGATGGAATAATGGTTAAGGTGTGTCCTTTCTTTCCACTTGTTTTCATGTGGGCATGCCCCCGCCCAGCCAGCTCTCCCGAGGGGCCCCTCACCCTCCTCTGCTTTTCCTTGGTTGTTGCTTTTTTCCGATGCGCCGTCCAGCGTGCCCACGAGGGCAGGGACTGCCGCACCTGGACTTGGCCCAGGTGCCCCGGCCAGAGCTGTCCCTCGTCTCCTGGTAAACGCAGCACATGCTTGTCCAGTGAACTTCTGAAGGCTTCACCCTGCAGAGCCTGCCTGCAGCCTGTGATCTCAGGCCATCTCTCCCTGTCCTACCCGGAACCCAGGTTACACTCTGGTGCACCCTTTCAGAGCACATGGGAAGAACTCGGAGTTGCTCTCGGTTTCTGACGAGGAGGACATGGCCACGTGGCAGAGGAGAAGCCTCCCCCTCCAGTGGGCAGGCGGCCTGAAAGCCCAGACTGAGACGGAGGCCAACCACACCAGGCACGTGCGGGCCCGGGGCTGCGGGCTGTGGCAGCAGAGGGGCCAGGCCAGGAGTCAGCAGCACCCAGCACCGTGAAGATGCCCCATGTTACCACTGCTCACTGGGTTTATCTGTAGGAAATCCTCAAGGTTCTGCAGAAAGCTATTAGATCTAATGAATGAGTTCCGCAAAGTGAGCTTTATTTAAGATGAGGGCTTCAGCCAGCATAGTCAGTTTTCCTGGGTCTCTCCCATGTATATGGGATGTTCAGTTTGATTTTCTTCTGTTGAAACAAAAACCGAGGTGGAGCAACCCTTCTCGGTTGTCACTGTGTTTTCCCAAAGCCTTCTTCCTGCTCGCGGTCACAGGATGTCGTCTCTAGCTCCTGCCGTCCCCTGCGGCTGCTGTGGCCGTTGCTCAGGGCACATATCTGACCTGAGCCCGTGTCCCGTGTGGGGAAGGCCTCAGAGCTGCCTCCTTTAGGGGAGCTCCCTTAGGGGAGCCAACGGGCTCTGGGTGACTGGGCCCGCTATCGCCCTGCAGGCTGTCCTGCCTGGCCGTGTGTTTGGCTCTGGTGAGGCGCTGCGTGGTTGCCTATGGCCCCCTGCCCTCCTTCCACGACATCGCGCAGCCCCTCCGAGCCCTCCTGACGGAGCACCTGTCCGCCCGCTGCTACCCACCCACGCTCCAGGTGAGGTTGGATCCAGAGGTGGGCGGGCAGGCCGGCGTTTCCAGCTCGGAGGCTCCAGGGGGCCGCCCTGCTCTGTCAAGGCTCGTCAGGGGACAAGGTTCAGTTCTGTTGCTCCATGGGTCTTAGTGGGCCTGGGGTCCCACCAGGCCACGTGCTGAGGACACTCTGGGCCCACAGCCCCGAGAGGCCCCGGGGGAAGGGGCAGCAGGAGGTTGGAGCGGCAGCTGGTGGGTGGGCCACCTGTGTGAGCTTCTTGGTGTCTCAGGACCTGAGTCGGAGCATTTTGACGGAGATGGAAAGCCAGCCAAGGCACTGTCGGCCGCTGGTCTGTGAGAAGAGCAAGCCAGTGCCGCTGAAACTGTTCACCCCCCGGCTCGTCAAAGTGTGAGTACCAAGGGCCTAGCACCCCAGCCCGGGGGGTCCGGGAGGTCCGGGGCGCCATGACGGCCTCCTGCATCGGGCTCTGCACCCTCAGCCTGGAGTTCGGCAGGAAGCAGGGCAGCACCAAGGAGGAACAGGAGCGGCGGAGGCTGATCCACAAGCACAAGCGGGAGTTCAAAGGAGCCGTCAGGGAGATCCGCAGGGACAACCAGTTCCTGGCCCGCATGCGGCTCTCGGAGATCATGGAGCGGTGAGTGGGGCAGGCGGGAGCAGGGCCAGGGCGAGAGCAGGGCCGGGCCCTCCTGTAACCCCGACGCCAGCGCCCTGTGGGCAGGCCAGGGCAGAGGGCAGCCTGGGGGCTTTTGTCCCGCTCACTTGTCCCCCACGTGTCCTGGACTGAGGCACCGGCCCCACAGGCATCTCACTTGCTGGTTCAGATGTGGAAAAGGGCAAGATGTTCCCCAAAAAGTAATCAAGAGATCGGTTATTTTTTTAGGGATGCGGAAAGAAAACGAAAAGTGAAGCAACTTTTTAACAGCCTCGCCACACAGGAAGGTGAATGGAAGGCTCTGAAGAGGAAGAAGTTCAAAAAATAAATTATAAAAAGACAGAGATGCTGCATACTGAACGCTGAGGGGCTGCTGTCTGTAACGCCAGAGTCTTCTGTACTTCATTCTTGTAAAAAAGCCTCTCCTGACAAATTGCACTTTTGAACTAGGACCAGGCCTCCATGGGAGCGACATGCCGATAAACTGTATGTGACGCCTGTGCGTGGTTTCTAGACAGTCCTGAGTTCATCACAAACCTTGGGGCTGGCGGGGTCCTGGCCAGCATCTCTGGTCAGTCAGGCACACGTGCCTCCACGTGCAATTTGCAGGGGTATTTATAATGTTACATGATTTTCAGTTATCAATGAAACAAGTCTGCACACAGTTCAGAAGTCAAAAAAGAAAGACGTCACCTGTTTTCCTGGCACCCAGCAGCCGTGATTGGTGTCACCCTGATCCCAGCTTTGGGTGGCCAACTGCTGGGGAAGGCAGAAGGGGTTGGGCTACATGGACCCAGGAGGCTCTGTAAGGACACAGGAGCTGCCTGCCCACCCTCGCGGCCCTAGGGCTATAGTCTCGCACAGAATGCTGCCTCCCTGCCCGCCCCAGGCCCCCAGGGTCCTGGCTCCCCAGGTGGCACGGGGCATGTGGCGGAGGCCCTAGAGCTCATATCAGGGAGCCCGTCCCTAAGGTCACGAGCCACAAAAGTGAGCACGAGATTTGAGGATTGGCCACACTGGGCGTGTGGAAGATGAGAAAGAGGGTGACCAATTCAGACCTCCCAGGTGGAGGCTGGTGGGAGTTATGAGTGATTTGGGGAGCCATAGGCGGTTTTGGGGCCAGAGCACCTCCTGGGAGCAGCCAGAGGGGACCAGTGATGGCCTCGGCAGATAAGCCTGCGTCCTCTCGCTGGTCCCCCTAGGATTTGTTCCCGTAGGTGTCCGCAAGGTGGGCATCTCCACAGACCTCAGGCCCTGGTGGGTGTCGGGGGCCACAAATCAGGCTGGCTTCTCCTTGCCGTGTAGCGTGGCCTGCTGTAGAGCCTCAAGGCTCCATCTCGTGTAAACCTGTCAAGCAGCTGTTGCTACTTCACCCGGCTGGCTGCCAAGGTATTGCTGCCGAGTTTTACTGGGAGGGGGAACAGCCCCAGCTCCGTCCTGTGCCACCCTGTGTCCCCACCTCGGCCCAGCCTGGGCTTCTGCACCCCGTTGCAGGCCTTGTCCTAGGAAAGGTTAGTACCAGGCGGAATGCCTGTCTCAGCCTTGCCTCCTCCGGGCCAAGGGGGCCTATAGGGGTTCGGGGAAGAAGGTGGTGGTGACAGCAGCTGTGACCACCTGGCCAGGCGCAGACAGGGCTGCTCTGAGAGCTGAACGTTCAGCCACTTCCCCAACCATCTCACCTCCGCCGTCACGCCCGAGCCGTGCGTGCTCCTGGGGGAGAGTAGACTCGTACTCAAGGGGAACAGCTGTACGCCGGGCAAAGGGGCTGCCGTGAGGTTTATTTGAAGTTCGTGTCTACAGAGGAGTGCCTTAATGTCGAGCGGACAGGAGGGAGTGGCCTGTCCTGGTCGGCTCGACCACAGACACCTGCATTTCAAGAGACGGAGGGGAAGCCGGAGGTGCAGGCAGGCGCTCCGGCTACCGGCGGTGCCCACGCCAGGCCCGCAGGCGCCATGTGGGCAGCTGCCCCTCCCCGGTGACCTCGGGCAGGCAGGGCGCCGGACAGTCCCGCCTCCACGCCCCACCGTCCCCACCGCCGCCCGAGTGCGGGCAAGCCCGCGCCCCCGCGCCGACTCCGCGTATTAGCAGCTTTATTTCGGGCCCAAGCCTCCGGCCGGGGCACACAGAGAGGGTCCGGTCAGGATGGACCCCGTCCTCCGGACGGAGCGTCCAAAACCCTGGGGTCCGCAGCAGACGGGTCGTCCTTCGGGCGCAGAATCTGGGAGCAAACCTTTGGACTGGTTCCCACCAGGACGCCGGCCACAGACGGAGCCGGGGAGGCCCGGCCCGGCCCAGTGGCCGGAAGAGGGGGTGCGGGTGTCCACCCACTTCCGCATGGTGAGGCCACGCCCACTTCCGAGCGGGAGAACACGCCGGCTTCCGGGTGGGTGGGGCGGGGTCTGCGTGCCCGACCCTCCCGGCGGTCCTCTTCGCGTCTGTCCGTCCATCCGTCCATCCGTCCATCCCCTGGTCTGTGCTGCGCGCGGCCGCTGCAGGTGCGGGGCGGGGCGAGGCGGGCGGGGGTCGTTCTCCGGCTCGCCAGGCTGCCCCTTGCTCCCGCCTGGGGCCGTGGGGCGGGGACCGGGAGGTGCCGGGACCACGATGCCCCGCCCGGTCCCCGCTCGGTCGGCCTCCAGAGCTGGCCGTTTCTTTGCGTAACTCCCCCCACAGTCTGCGTTTCCTGCTGCCCAGGGTCGGGGGGCAGGGCGCACAGAGCGACAGGGGTAACGGGGCAGGCAGGCCCTTCAGGGGCGCTCTTGCAGTGAGTGGGTTGGGGGCGCTTCGCGGGCAGAGGGCTCTCCTCCTCCCGAGGTGGGTGGGCGTCGGGGCCGGTTAGCCGGACGTGCCTTCGCGCACCGTGCCCTCGTGCAGACCCGCCACGCGCTCAGCCGGGCCTGATTGGAGCCGCTCCCATCATGGGCTGCGGAGCCGGCGGGAGCTGCGCGCCGCGCCCGCCCATCCGCCAGCAGCCGGCGCCAGAAACCCGCGTGGTCGCTGCGGTCTTCCTCGGCCTCGTGCTGGACCTCCTGGCCTTCACCCTGCTGCTGCCCCTGCTGCCTGGGCTGCTGGAGCGCCATGGCCGTGCCCACGTGAGCCCCTCCCCGCCGGCCCCGCTGCCCCCGCACCCCGCCACGGCTGCTCCTGGCTCCCAGCCCCTCAGAGGCGCCCCAGCCCGCCACGCCTCCTTGTCCTCAGGACCCCCTCTACGGCTCCTGGCAGCGCGGGGTGGACTGGTTTGCAGCAGCCATAGGAATGCCAGCAGAGAAGAGGTACAACAGCGTCCTGTTCGGAGGTATGGTCCCGAGCTGGGCTGGGGGCCCTCTCCCTCCCCACTCCCTGGTTCTCACCTTTTCGCTCCGGGGCGTGGTCCACCCCGTCTCCCCGTGGAGTGTCCACTTCCCCTTGGGGCCCCCCGGGCCGCGTGGCGACCGTGAGCTCTGTCTCTTCCAGGTCTGATCGGCTCCGTGTTCTCACTCCTGCAGTTCCTCTCGGCACCGCTCACCGGGGCCGTGTCTGACTGCCTGGGGAGGCGCCCGGGGATGCTGCTGTCCCTGGTACGCATGTCCCCCGGCAGCCCTCTGGGAGGCAGCCGTGGCCCCTCCGTGGCTCTCACTGCTCCCTGGGGGAGGTGTCTGGGGAGAGCGGGGCTCCTGGAGCTGAGCCGGGGTGCAGCGGAGCAGCTCCTGCCAGGGGGACACTGGGCACACGAGTGGCCTTTGGCTGCTCCAGAACAGGGCAGGGTCCCAGGGGTACTGCGCCGGCCTGTCAGCCCCACTGTGGGCCCCTCCTGGCCTCAAGTGACGGCGCCTGCCCTTGGCCCCTGCCCTGGGGCAGGCAGGTGTGGCCACCTCGTACGCAGTGTGGGCTGCCTCGAAGAGCTTTGCGGCCTTCCTGGCCTCCAGAGTGATAGGCGGCATCAGCAAGGGGAACGTTAGCCTCTGCACCGCCATTGTTGCTGACCTGGGCTCACCATCTGCCCGCAGCAAGGGCATGGTGAGTGCGCCCTGGGGCTTAGGGGTGGGAGTCTCTGGGGCTCGGGTCTCCCTGCTCGCTCAGGCACCCTCTTTTCCCCAGGCAGTCATCGGGGTGGCTTTTTCTTTGGGCTTCACCCTGGGCCCCACACTGGGCGCCTTCTTGCCCTCGGAGACGGTGCCCTGGCTGGCCCTGCTCTTCGCCGTCTCGGACCTGCTGTTCATCTGGTGCTTCTTGCCAGAGACGCTGCCCCCGGAGAAGCGGGTAAGGTGGGAGCGAGACAGCGGTGGGGGCGGGGGCAGGCGGGGATGCCCTTCGCGTGCCCCAGCCCCAGGTGCTGGGGAGGCCGGGCTGCATGGTCCCCGGACCCCCCGGCCTTGCTGAGGGCCCCGCAGGGTGCAGGGGCCGAGCGGGTTCCGGTCAAGCCCACCCCCAGGCCCGCTGGCAGCCGCTCAGCGCGGTCCCGCGCAGGCGCCCTCCGTCTCCCTGGGGTTCCGGGCGGCCGCGGACTTGCTCAGCCCCCTGGCCCTGCTCCGCTTCTCCGCCGTAGCCCGCGGCCCGGACCCGCCCACTGGAGCCCGTAAGGAGCGGGCCCCGGGGGGCGGCGCTGGGGGGCCCTCGGGCCGCCCTGGGGGCTGTGTGCGGCCAGGGCCACAACCCCTGCTCGCCGCCCCGCAGGGCTTGGCAGCCTGCGAGGTCTGGGTCTGGCCTACTGCCTCTACCTCTTCCTGTTCTCGGGCCTGGAGTTCACGCTCAGCTTCCTGGTGCACCAGCGCTTCCAGTTCAGCAGGTGGGACGCCCCGCACCCGGCAGGTCCCCACCGCGGCACGCGCGTCCCTGGAGCCCAGCCCAGGGTCCTGGGGCGGGCGCCGCGGGGCCGTCACCCTGGCTGCCTGGCCGTGCGAGGGCAGCACTGGCAGGACAGGGGTGCTGACGGCTCGCCCCTCGCAGGGTAGAACAGGGGAAGATGTATTTCTTCATCGGTCTCACCATGGCCACCATCCAGGGCGCCTACGCCCGGCGGATCCGCCCTGGCAGGGAGATGGCGGCTGTGAAGCGGGTACGGGGCTCCCCGGGGCTGGGGGTAGGCGCTGCCGGCGCTCTGCGGAGGCAGCGGGGGCTCTGAGACCGGCTGTGCCGCCCACAGGCCATCCTGCTGCTCGTCCCTGCCTCGCTCCTTGTCGGCTGGGGACACACGCTGCCCCTGCTGGGCCTGGGGCTGCTGCTCTACGCCTGGGGTGAGTGGGGGGGCGGGGCCGGGGCTCCCCACCCCCGCCGGCCTCTCCTCCGGGCTGACCGGCGTCTCCCTGGTGTCCCCCCAGCCGCAGCCGTCGTGGTCCCCTGCCTGTCCTCCGTGGTCGCCGGCTATGGTGAGAGGCCCTGCCCTGGCGCGAGACCAGACCCTGGGAGGCGGTCTGCAGGCCCCTGACGGCTGTCCCCTCTTACCCACAGGCTCGCCCCGGCAGAAGGGCACGGTCATGGGCACGCTGCGGAGTCTGGGCGCCCTGGCCAGGGCCGTGGGCCCCGTGGTGGCCGCCTCAGGTGAGGCCGCAATACGGCCCTCCGGGCATGCTGGAGGCCCGGCCCGGCCACTGGGGGGGTTGCTGGCCGAGCGGGAGGGGGCAGGTGGACCCGGGGCACCGTCGCCTCCCCCGTTGTTTCCACAGCGTACTGGCTGGCCGGTGCCCGCGTCTGCTACACCGTGTGCGCCGCGCTCTTCCTGCTCCCATTCTCCGTCCTGTGGACCCTGAGCCCCCCGGCACGGACACTCAAGGCCGAGTAGCTGGGCCGCCGCTTGCGGTGGTGTGAGGGCGGGGGGGCTGCGCAGGAAGGGGGGGGGGCCTGACCCCTCCAGCCCCCTCACCCCGCCTCCGGGGCCTGGGGCTTGCAGCTCCAGGGTGCGACACACTCCGGCATGGACCTGGCCTGTCAGGCTCAGAATCTAAAACCTTCCAGACTTTCTGCCTTGTCTTCTGTTCTCAGTGACGCAGAGCCTCAGCCCGGCCTCAGAATGACAAAATAAAACAGCTGTCACATACCAAGTGCCTTCCTGCAGCGCACACCCCGTCCTCCCACCCCCGGGACACCCCCAGGCACCAGGGGCAGCGGCTGGAGTGACAGCTGCTCCAGCTGCACTGACCACAGGCTGCCAGGCTCTGCCCAGTTCCCGGGTCCCGTCTGCACTGTGGTGGGGGACCGCCTGACGCTCGCCCCTCGCCCAGGCCCTGCCCCAGCGCCGCCCTCTGGGGAAAAACAGGCAGGCACCTGGAGCACGGTGCTTCTCAGAGCGTGCCCCATGGTCCAAAGTGACAAACTCTGCCGGGTCAAGGGATAAGCGCTCGCTTTGGAATCTTTGTTTGGAACGTTAAACTTCTGAAGTCCTATTTTAAAGGAACAAACAAAAGGAATTAAGATGCAAGACGGCTTCCCAAGATTAGACAAGGAAACTGCATAAAGAATTTTATTTGTGAGTAAAACATGTTACAATGAAGAAAGGCCGTAGGACCTGTCCTCCCAAGCCTGTGTCTGTATATGCAACTAAACTTCATGTTGAGATACAAAGAGTTAAAATAAACTACAAAAATGAAATTAAAGTCATTGCATATGTGGGGTGAGAGGAGGGAGGGCAGGAGGAGCCTGTGATTAAGAGTGCAGGGCGAGGCTGGGGGGCTCGACCACCACCGGGACAAGACGAGAGGGAAGCTGGCGGGAAGCTCGAAGCAGAGGTCAGCGCCATGCAGCCGGCCTCGGGTCCCCCCACTCCCCAACAGGGGCCTGTTGCGACAGGCTGGCCCTGAGCTCCTGGGACAGCCCACTGTCAAGGAGACCCCAGCCACCCCGAGTTCCACCCAAGCAGCCCCACGCTCTGCTCCAGGGATGCAGTGCTGGAAGGCGGGAGGGGCCTTGTGGTGCCTGCAGGACGTCAGTGGACCTCTGGGGCCGACTCCTGCCCCGAGCTGCCCTTTAACCAAGGGAAGGAGCACCCCAGGCCAAGCTGAGCGCAGGCGAAGGCCCACCTCAGTGCCGGGCCCTCCCCAGGAGAGAGCAGAAGCAGAGTGCTGCCCATGCACGCCGTGGGTGCTGCGGGAGCTGGTCTGCTGGGGAGGTCCACAGGGCCGCCCCCCGGGGACGCGTCCCTACGACCGGTCAGGAGGCCCCAGGGGGGAGCGCAGCCCCGGGTCTGGTTCTGGCTGAGGGGACTGGGGCCCAGCACCAGCTGCGCCACAAGCTACTGGGGCTCCGGCTCAGCCCTGACCCTCTCCAAGGCCATCCCAGGGGCCTGGGCTGTCGGGGTGCTTTCCCAGGACCGAGGCTGTGTATCTGAACAAAGATCACTGACCAGGCAACACCAGCAGGAAGCTACGGGTCTGATTCAGTCACCTGAGACCTGGGGGTGAAGGAGAGCCTAGCAGAGATAGGGCGCGGGTTACTCCACGAGAGGAGGAGAGGAGTGGGGAAGGCCAGAGCGGGCAGGTCTGCCCCCGTCCAGCTAGGACCCTGGCTCAGCTCCCGGGGACAGTGTCTTCAAGGAGCTGAGGAGGGGCCCCAGTGCTGACCCTGCAGGCAGGGCTGGCTCGGAGGTGGACGCGGAGCCCGCGTCTCCCCCAGACCTGAGGCCGCCGGCCGGGCCGCTGCACGCACACGAGGTTAGCACCGGTCTACGTGGGGGCTGGTCACACCGGGAGGGATGCGCTAGCTACACAAGGACGGGCCTCTGCATTCCGTTACACAGGGAGGCGGGACACGCGAGGCGACCGGGACAGCCTGGCGGCACCGGTGTGTGCAGGAAGAGCCTTCAGGAGTCGCTCCTCTTCTTGCTCTTCTTCAGGAAGGAAGGGGTGCGGAATTTCTTCTTCTTTTTGGACGGGGACTTGCCCGGAGACCCATCACTGCCAGGGTCCTCGGCCGCTGGGGAGGCGGCCTCCTCAGCTGCCTGGGCTGGGGCTGGCTCGGGGCTGGCCGCCAGGGGGGACCTGGTGGGAGACCCAGGGGGGCTTGGAGGGCCCCCGGCTTCACCCAGCCCCTCCTCCTCTCCCTTCTCCAACGTCGGGAAGCCGAGCGCTTCTGAAGGCTCATCGGGGGACAGGTCGGGCAGAGTCGGCTTGAAGGTGGCGGCGTCACTGTCATCTCCGGAGGGCGGCTCCCGCGGCAGGTCTGGTGGGTGGGGCAGGAGAGACGCGGTTACAGGGCGACCGCCCAGGGCTCCCGGCCTCCCGAGCGCCCCGCACAGATGCTGCCCTGAAGTGACTCTAAAGCAGAGGGAGGAGCCCTCAGCAAGGTCTACTCTACTCCACGGTGGACACCGCTCACAGTGTAAGAGTGGGCTCGGCCTCAAGGTGGATTTTAGCTCCTCCCGACGCACAGCGGGCTGACAAAACCAGACTCAGTCCTGGGGCTGGGTCCCCAGTCATGGACAGAGTGGTGAAGGCCCGTGGAAACACTGTCAGGCAAGACTGCAACGTTCTGCCTTAAACACTTGAAACATTAGAGAAGAAGCATTAGTAGTCCTGAACTTAACGCCTAAATCTGTATCCATGACACCTGGTCTCCCCACAAGGAGAACACTAAACCGTGGCGTTCATGGAGAGCCCCGAGTGAACTCCCAGACCCACGTCAGCATCACCGCCAAAGGCCACTGTAGGCCGGAGAATTCAAAACGAGATGAACTCCGGGAAAAAAGGACAAAAGGGGAAAAAAAGAGATGAACTCTAAGGTAAAAGACAGGGAAAAACTTCAAGCCATTTTAAGAAGCTGAACATGGAAAAGTGAAAGTGTTAGTCGCTCAGTCGTGTCCGACTCTTAGCAATCCCATGGACTGTAGCCCACCAGGCTCCTCCGTCGATGGGATTCTCCAGGCAAGAATACTGGAGTGGGCTGCCATTTCCTCCTGCAGAGGTCTTCCTGACCCAAGGATCAAACCCAGGTCTCCTACACTGCAGGCAGATTCTTTACCAACTGAGCCACCAGGGGAGCCCCTCAACATGGAAACATAAACATAAGCCAAGGGGCACTGGTTTTAAAGAAACAGTCTGAGGCCTGGTTTCTACACTGACCCCAGGGGAAGCCAGTTTTGTGGATTTTTTAAACACAGTCTACAAAGTTACAAGCCACTGGGAGGTTAGGCAACACTGGCAATCTAGCCAAACCTCAGGAGGTGACAGGAAGCCAGAGGAGCAGGAGTGGTGGGAGCAGGGGCAGATCCGGGAGGCTGGCATGCCCCCCTCCGCCAGCCCCTCACCCCTGGCCTTAGGAAAGTGAAATGGCTTGGCTCAGCTGCGCAGGAGGCACTGAGGATTCATTCACTCTTCAGAGCATGCCGAGGCTGCCTGTGGCTGCTCGGGGGAACTTTTACAGTTGGACCAAATGTTACATTAAACAAATAGCAATGAATGTTGCTCTCCCATCCCCCTCAGATTTAAGCTTAAGCACCCAGCTTAAGCAAAGATCAAAATACATGCGACCCCCATGCAAAATCCCGGCCTGAGTCCAGTCTAGACTCGGGTCTGGTCTGAGAGCAGAGCTCTCCACGGAGCAGCGCCAGTCTCCAAGGTGACAGGACAACGTGGCCTCCGGGGCTTCTGAGGCCCAAGTGGTCTGCGGCAGGTCCACGCAGCTCAGGCGGCCCAGCCCCTCCAGGAGCGTCACTGCCCACAGCGCAAGGACAGGGAATGGAGGTGGGGGGGCGGGTGGGAGGCTTCATTTTTATTTTGAATCAACAGAAAACAAAACTTAACAAGCAACAAAGAGGCAAAGCACGGGACTTCTGGTGGACAGCAGGGGCCAGGCAGCAGGCGGTACTTACTATGGTAACAGGTACTCTTTAGCACATCCACCTCCTGCTTGTCAGGCAGCCACAGGAAGAGAAAAGCACAGGTAGAGAGTCTACGCATCAGTCACAGCCACTGGGTCACAGACAGAGGGCGGGGGGCACCACGGACACGACCCAGCACACATGGAGGCCACGGGCCCCAGACACAGGCAGGCGGTCCCGGAGACCACCAGGGTCCGGCACTCGCCATGGACTCTGCGTACGGCCAGAGGGTGCAATCCTGGGGCCTGGACATGACGGAGGACGCTTCCGGGGCGACCCAAGCACAGGAGGGTGGAGGAAATGTGCAAGCAGTGGGCGACACGGACGTCACGGACGCAAGCAGGCCCCGTCCGCGGCCACGCGCGCCGCATTAGCGGAGGGCCGACAGGACACGGGCGCGGGCCAGCCACGCACTGGCCCCATGCAGACGCGCACTGGCCTTAGTGTCAGCTCAGCTCCTGCCACACTCGGCCGCTCTTCTTCCACAAAGTCAGGACGTGTGCCCCCGCCCACGAGGCCGCCCCGGGCGATGGTGCACGCTCCCCCGCGGGGCGGGCCTGCGCTCACCTTCCCCCAGCTGGACAGGGGAGCTGGGAGGCGTGTGCGGCTCCGGAGGGCTATTCTCTCGCTCTTCTCTCGGCTCATCCAGATTCTCTGCAGATGCACAAAACGCAGGGGGAGCGTGTGAAGAGCTGTGAACCCAGGGCCCCCCCGCCACCCTCCTCCAAGGCAGCCGGGCCAGCCTGCCCTGCCGTGGAGCCGCCTCCGGGAGGGCACAGGCCGGAGCCCGGAAGTGAAGCGCTCACAGCCAGTGTCCTTGGCTTTCCCCAGTCGCTGTCTCAAAGAGCATGAAGGAAGCCCACAGGGACTGGGGTGTGGCTCTGCATCTCAGGACGCGAGAGCTGCCTCTGTGCTGTGCTGAACAGGGACCCTTGGCCGGCCCCCCAGTGAGGAGCCCCTCCCCACGTCCTCAGCATCCCACTGCTGAGAAGGGCCCAGGGTCCCAAGCACCCACACCCTACCTGCCACTTCAAGGGACACTCCATGAGCACAATCTTGGTTTTCATCTTTTATTTAGAGCATTTTCTACCAATACTTTAAACCTGGCAGTTGTAGGGACTTCCCTGGTGGTCCAGTGGCTAAGACTTCACACTCTCAATGCAGGGGGCCCAGGTTTGATCCCTGGTCAGGGAACAACTAGATCCCACATGCCCAACAAAGACTGGTGAAAAAGTCAAAGTGTGAAGTTGCTCAGTCGTGTCCAACTCTGCGACCCCATGGACAGTAGCTTGCCAGATTCTTCTGTCCATGGAATTCTCCAGGCAAGAATACTGGAGTGAGTTGCCAGGCCCTTTCTCCAGAGGATGTTCCAACCCAGGGATCAAACCCAGGTCTCCCACACTGCAGGCAGACTCTGAGCCACCAGAGAAGCCCCACTAAGTCTGACACAGTGAAACAAAATAGATATTAAATAAATAAAATAGATAAATACATAAAATAGACATTAAAAAAGAATAAACTTGGCACCTGTAATGCATATTTTTTTTCCTAAAGTAAAATGCGCTAAGAACCAGAGAAAAAAATGACAGGAACTAGGATCCAGAAAATTCCAAGTCTACCCCTCATTTAGGGAAAAGTGTATACCACTGTTACCCTAGTTCCTAGAGTCTCCTGTCTCATTTACACTTTTTATGTTAATAGCTTAGGGCCAGTAAGTGCCGTTTTTGAAAAAATTCACCTCCCTAGGCTTCCTAAGCCTACAGCTCCCTTCCTGAAGCCAGGTGTCTATGCACAGAGGCGGCACATCTCCTGCCTGGGGGCACAAATTCCTTCCACCAGGAAGAGAGGCTGGAGGCTTCTTCCCTGTGCCAGAAGTGCTGACCTTTGACACAGCCTGAGTCTCACCTGCAGCACACACCACCACCTCCCGCCACGCCAAGAGCTGGCACCAGTGCTGGGCAGGGGTTTCCTGGCAGGGCCCCTGGCTGCCACTCCCAGGTGACAGCTTTGTGAGCACACAGCATGCTCACGGCTGATCCCACACACATCCACCCACTCACTCCCTCTACTATCCCTCCTGATGAGCCTTTACGTGCAGAGGAAACTCTCATGTCTTGTGGTTAAACTAAAAAAAAAAAAAAGTCCGGGTTTTTCTTAGACACTGGGAGAGGCCAGAGGGCAGACACGCGTCTCTGGGCACAGGAGCTGGGATTAGGCTACAGGCCCGGGAGCTGCTCAGGCCCGCATGTGCGCTCTCCCACTAAGGCAGTAATCAGGGCTGTGGCTCACACAGGGTTTCCTGCAGGGCTGCCTGCACCGCCCAGGAAGCAGTCACAGTCAGCTCTGTGACCCAAAGATGAGGCTGCCCCTGAATCCACGTGTACTGTGTCTTAACTTGAACGTACACAGAACAGAAGTGACGGGCAGTGAGGATTTAACACACTGGAAGACAATCCAACAGCAGCCTTTTTTCACAACTCAAATTTCAACAGCAGCCACATAATGCATTATGTAGCTGACCTAAAACAAGACTAAAAAGAAAAATTAAACTGGGGGAAATCAGAAAGTGTTTGAAGCAGAAATGGCTCCTAGGATGGTCCCCCAGCGACCCTGGAGGGTCACCTCGGGACCTCCATTCCAGGAGGGAGAAGTGTGTGCACTAAGGCTGGGAACAGCAGCATGAGCCTCCCGAGGGGACGTGCTGCCCCAGGGTCTGCATGGCAACCAACCCGGGCACTCTGGGAGAGGTTCAGACCCCCAAGCCTTTGCGTCAGATGCAGTGGGAGGCCAGCTTCTCTCCTGGCCATCAAAACATCTGAATCCACTTTTAAAAACCTGAAGCGTGAAACAAACTGCTCCAAGAGGTTCTGGCTCTCAGAGCCGTTTACTTTCCTCTGTTGCAAAATAGTCCCAACATGTTTTACAAAACCACGTCCTCCTAGCCTCCGTGAGCTGCCAACAGGAAGATGCCCCAGCCTGAGCCCCCTCTCCACAGGGTCTGGAAAGGGGTCACACGAGGCCCTGGGCCTATGACCACGCCCGGCCAGGGAGCCCTCGGGGCTTACAAGAAAACCCCATGCGGTGACTGCGGCTGAGATGAAAGTGGAGAGACTGGGTGCAGGGGTGTGGGCCAGACCCAGGCGGGCCTCTGCCACACATGGCCTTGTTCTAGGGAACAGGCTTCTCTGCTCTAACTGGTGAGGAAAGGCCCAGCACTCAGGGTTACTGTGAGCTAAATGAAACATGGGCACGCAGAGCATTCACATGCCTGACACAACATAACTGTTCAAAAACGACTGGGGTATGACTGAGACCAGGCAGTTCAGAGAAGGTGCTTCCTCGGGGAACTGCCAACAAAGAAGTACTACAGACATCAAAGGCAGACTGTATCTTAAAAGCAATACTCAGACTGGTTTGCCCACCAGCTATTCTAGGTTAATTGATGCATTCTTCTTTGGTCGTCCTGAGCCCTCAACACAGACGGCTATCCAGCTAGGAAAGGGAGCACTGCCCAGCACAACCCGGAACCTGGACAGGAGAGGACCTGCCAGGGCTCCCAAGGCCACAGAGGCCCACGGACTCCCTCTCTCCCTTTTCACCCACAACAGGCTTCACAGCAGCGCTGACAAGCAGGGCTCCTTTCAGGCCCCACCTTGTGCTGCTGTGGTGCTCGGACCAGCAGGGGTCCCCCCCACCGCATCTGACCGCAGGCAGGACCTCTCTCACACGAGGACTCTCCCAACCAGACCAATCAGAACCGTGAGGACTCTCCACGTCCTCTGGGACTAGCCCGGCGGAGGTCAGGACGTGCACCTGAAGTCCCCTTGGGACCAGGTGCTCGCAGGCCTCGGTCTCCCCCGGGACCGCGCGCGGCTCACCTTCGGGGCCCTTCTGCTTGCGCTCCACCTCCCTGCGGTACTCCTCCAGCTCGCGGTCTGTGAGCGTGTTGAAGGGGTTGGGGCCGGTGGTGCTCACTATGACGTGTGGCTGGTATTCCTTCTCAATGATGGCCTTGGAGGCCGTCACTAGCTCGCCCTGCAGACAGAAAGGGACAAACCGTCTGAAGGGGCCCCCGGGACTCTCCCTCCTCCCAGGCGGGGGCGGGGGGCGGCGGGCGGACAACAGGGGACACAGCAGCCTCGAGGGGCGCCTGAGGCTCAGGTGGGGCAGCAGCCTGCAGCGTAGAGGACAGAGAAGCAGGGCTTTGGTGCTACAGATTGAACGTACCAGGGGAGCAGCTCCTAGGGAAGGCCTCCAGATCTCAGGTGCTAAGGACCCAGAGTGCAGCTGGAGCGTGGTGGGCACCCCAGGGGGACCAGGTCCTCAGACAGGGATGCAGAAGGATTCCTCCAGCCCATCACCCTCCTCCCCATTGGACAATGTCCCCCACAGCACTCGGGCAGGCGCGCTCAGAGACGAGCACCTGCTCTAAGGGCACAGACAAGCGCTGCTCCTTTGTGCGTCTGCTCAGTAACTAAAGCCTGGAACTTGTTCCCAGACACGAAGAGATGACAACACGACACAGAACACCAGGGCTTGTCTGAGGAATCTGGACAACTGTAAGAACTTACACAAAAGAAGAAAGCAAGCTTAAGCAGAGCGAAGTACACGGTGGCCCCGCCTGGGACAAGGAGGCCGAGCAGTCAGGCCCCGAGGGTGGCAGCGGGCAGGCAGCCCCCAGGGACGCGGGCAGCGGGCAGGCCGGCCCTGGCGCCAAGCCCACCCACACCTGTGCCCCACAGCCTGCCTGCTTGGCCGCACATGCTCTGGAGCTCATGTCTGAGAAAGGGCAGGCAGAACTCAAACACGTGATGTGACTTAACGGTAACTGTGGGAAACAAGTGACCACAGGAGGCGCTGCGGTTGCTCAGACATCAGGCCCGGCCCGGCAGCACTGTCCTCGGGGGCAACACCACAGGCAGAGGGCATGCACAAGCCAGGCACCAGGGACAGAGTCAGGCCAGCCTGCAATGTTCAGCTCACCAGCCAACCGCTGCCCTGGGAACCTGGGCTGAGGGGTCACTGTCCAGTGACGTGGACCCAGAAGGGGAGAAGGAAAAGGCTGGAGCTCGCAGCCTGTGCTCAAAGAGCCTGCAGATTAGAGATCAGCTGCCTAGATGGGGTGGGGGGCTCCTCCTGGGCAGGCCTGACCCCAGGCGTCCTGGCTTTTCACCCAGAAGGCGCCTCGCTTCCCAGACAGTGATGGGGTCATCATCTGCCCTGAGTCAGCTCTGTGCCCCGAGACAAGCCCCTTCTCGTCTACTCTCCCTGAGAGGGGCTGACAGAGGCTGAGACGGGCCGAGCTCTGATGTCCTCGAAACTGCGGCAACTAGGGAGTGGCATCTGCATCCTGGCGTCACTGCCAGTAAGAGGAGGGAGAGTCGAGCTCTCAGAGGAACGTTCACATTCATTTAGCCTAACGTTCACAGTGAGTAAGGAATAAAACATCAAGAAACAATCTCAGTTACTACACCCTGTGGTCAAGCAAGGCCCTTCCTCCAGGACACCTGGTCCTCCAGGTACAGCACGGCTGGGTCCTGCTCCACAGGCAGGAAGCTCCGTCTTCCAAACTCCTCAGCGGAGGGCTGAGCTGCCTTCCAGAAGCTCGGAACAGACCCGGGGATAGGGGACCCTGTTACTCCAGAGGCAGGGGACGCAGAGGGCCCCAGGCCTGCTGCTGAGCAACAGGATTGAGGAACTGGGATGTGGAAGGGCTGCTCCCTGCAGCAGCCCCCGGAGGTTCTCACCCTTCCATCCTGGGAGCCACCACCACAGGCTCAAGCAAAACAGACGTCCAGCAACAACTTCTGCACCTGACTGACAGGGTCTGAGTGGGGTGACAGTTCCATTCCCCAAAGTGCGCAAACCTGGCCCGGCGCCCTGACCTGCGCAGAGGTTTTCACCAGTAAAGCCTATTCAGAGCTGAGTGTACGCTCCAGGCGCCGGGCCAGGCACAGACTCGATGACCGAGTGAGTCCCGCAGGTAGGCTGCAGGCCCACACCTCCAGCGCATAGAGGGGCTACACGCGCTCGTGGAACAGGGAGCCTCGTGCGACACAAGTCAGATGATTTCCAGCAGACTTAGAGCCCCTGGTCTCTAATATCGATGCACTCATAACCAAGTCCAGAAGGGAGGGCCGGCCCACCCAGCACTGGAGTCAAGTATGCCTGCGGTCGGGCTCAGTGGTCCTCTGAGAACCAGAACATCAAGTGTGGCTGGGACCTGCTGCCAGTGTCGAAGACACTGTCGCCGTGAAAATGAAGCACGCTGGGTGGGAAGAAGACCAGGGTGCAAACGGGAGCACCAGTTAGAAGACGGCGGAGGACAAGCAGAACAGACACCTACACACAGGGACGCCAGCACCTGCCCGCCGGGAGCAGTGTCCTCGGCCACCCGCCCCTCGGGCCACACTCACAGCGTATCTTCCACTGGGGCGGGGACTCTGGAGCAGCCAGGAACCTCCTCCCACAGACTTGCAGCTTCCCAGCCAGGCATCCAACACTTCAAGAAGCAGCCACAGGCGACTGTGACGCACGCCCACAGCTGAGCACCGCTGAGCGGAGCAAGAGCCAGGCTGCACCTGGACGAGCAGCTGTCCACGGGCGTCCTCAGACGCGGCTCACAGGGGCCCCTCCAGACAGCCCCCTCGAGGCACACAGCAACCACCAAGCGCAAAATAACGCCCCGAGAGACAGCACAGCAACGACTGCCAGCTGGCTTGAGCCCACAAAGCCAGAGGGAGATGTGGGCTTTCACGGTAAGCGTCCTGGGCTCATGGACTCAACACACTTTGAAGTATCTGAGAGAAAAAATTATCAACTAGTAAAATCACAACAGCTTATGGCCGAGATAAGCAACATGAAAAACAAGCCGACAGGGATAAAAAGACACTGCTCATCCTCGCTGTGAGAAGTTCCTCCGAGAATGGTAACTGGACCTTCGTTCCAAGGACAAGGAAAAACGGGACCCGTGGGATTAATGTATAAACATGCAAAAGAATTTCATCAGCACATGAATTAGTACAAATCTGATTTCTCTGGCAACTGGAACATTGATAAATATTTGCATCTCACTGGAGATGTATTAATTGAAAGAGGCCCTGAAAATTCCCTTTGAACATAGGGTACACACAACTCAGGGGTGTCTGTCCTCGACACCAGTAGCCTTGAATGTGCGCAGGAAGCTTCCTTCCACCGGGGCAGGTCCTACAAGATACATTCCCCACGGACTGTACGTACCACGTACACAGAGAAATTACAATTTGGGATTTCAAATTTTGCTAAGTCCTTTTCCCCCTTGCAACATTCAAAACAATTATCTAGTGTTTTTGTTTTTGTTTTTAGGTAAAAATACTGGTGGCTCAGATGGTAAAGAGCCTGCCTGCAATGTGGGAGACTCAGGTTCAAACCCTGGGTTGGAAGATCCCCTAGAGAAGGAAATGGCAACCCATGCCAGTATTCTTGCCTGGAGAATTCCACGGATGGAGGAGCCTGGTGGGTCATGGTCCATCGGGTCACTAAGAGTCAGACACGACTGAGCGACTAACACTTTCATTTTCACATTTCATCAACAAGGGCTGGCAAAGACTGTCTTGTTTTATTCCCCATTCCTCTGAAATGACATTTTCAATCATACAGCCTTCGAGTGCCACGTTCACTACACTCGGATCACAGCTGAGCATGCCAAGGGAGGAGGTCTCACGGGAGAGCCGCCACACTGCTCGTGGCCGACCCATGAGCCTTTTGCAGCTGGCAGGCACCCTGTAATAGGCAAAGTCCTAAAACATGCACCAACCAAAGTCACATGCAGATCTCGAGAAACATCACTAAGATCAACCATTTCTCAGCACAGCATAAAAATGCTGAAAAGTATAAAAATAACCTCATATAAAATGTTTAATTAAAGAACAGAATGGGCAGAACAGAACCTTCTGTACAATCTCACGAATATCTCAGAGATCCGTTTAAAGCTCCTCGGTACCTAAGACAACACCAAGCGCAGAGACAGGAGGGGGCAGGGCGGGCAGCAAGCAAGGGGTGCCGGCAGGTGGCAGAGGGGGGGCGGTGAGTACCTTTCTAAAAGAGAGAGACTTAGCGGGACTAAAGGTCTGCTCTGTACGCTCGAGCCCTTCGATTCTTTCCGTACAGTCAGAGAGGGGTGCGTCCTGCAACAGTAAACTGAGTGGTCAGAGTCCGCCAGGCCCAGCCGAGCACATCGCCCAGAGCACAGCCTGGAGCAGCAGAGCGCATGCAGCGAGATGGCCGTCAGCGGGCTGGGCAGGGGGACGGCGCCGCGACGTGCAAACACGGGCCACAGAGCCGACCGCGCTGGCCCACACCACAGACAGCAACTAGTCACCTCCCCTGGCGACTCGAGTCTAAAGCCTCGGGCGGCAACGTAACTGTCAGAGATAACTACTCACACAGTTATCTTCAGGGTGCCACGACGGGCAGTCCTTCTACAGAAACGCGTGTAAATGTACATCACATTTACAGGGGCCCGCTGCACTTTTCCCAAGCACCACGCTGTCGTGGACAGCAACACATACAAGAACCGCTGTCCACCACCCCCGCCCTCCTCCCGCGTGCCCCACAGCTCCCGCTGGGACCAGGTAAACCTGGGCCCAAGCTGGCAGCCTGCGTTGCCCTCACTCAGGCGTGCATGACACGGAGCAGGCTTGGGGGACACGGCCCTGGGCATGCTGACGCTCGGTCTACAACTCAAGGAAAAGGGGCCGATTACTTCTTTCCACGAAGACTATAAACAAAGGGACTGGGTGCCTAGGACACTTACCTCATAGTCATCCTCTCCCAACTTAAGAGTAACTTGGAGCAGGCGGTCACAGAGCCCCCACCCACTAACAGCAGAACCGTTCTGAGCACTCACCTGGACAAGGCTCCTGTCCATCACCACACCAGACAACACCTGGGACTGGGGGCCAGCCGTCTTAATGTCCTGCAGGTTCTGCTCTCTAATCTGAGGACAGCAAGAAGAGAAGAGACACATCAACAGCACAGAGACAGTTCGCTGTGCCTGAAGCTGCCGTGTGTGCTCAGGCCCCGTGCCGCGCACAAGCCGCTCCTTTGGGCTGCCCTGCACGACTACCCTGCTGGTCCAGCCTGATTAGTAACTCAAGTCTCAGAGGGTTGGATGGACCCTCCAGACTTGCTGCTTCCTCCGGACAAGTTCAGCAGGCATGGGTCTCACTGCCCGTGCCAACTTGAGAGGAGACACCCCGTGTGCCCATCTTCTAGAGACACTGTGAACACTGGTGGGTCTCACGTTCCAACACACCAGATATTCACAACTCTTCAAATGGACCTTGCGAGGCAGGGGCAAAGGCTGCTCTCACCAGGGACAGGCTCTGACTTCAACTCTGCTCTGCGGAGGGACAAGCGTCATTCAAGCATGGGGCCCAGAGGCGCCCGCTGCTCGCCGCCGTGCACAGCACTGCGGGTGAAGGGAGGACCCGGCAGTCACGGGACAACCGCAGCCGCCCTCCCGGGGCTGGCGCTCTCCCCGCAGCCACAAGCGGCCTGCCCCACCCGGGCCACCTCCTCTCACACACGCGTTTCCAGCAATGGCTGGCGGCGGTCAGTACGCACCTTGTTCCTCATCTCCTGGACCTCTTTTGGGTTAGTGTTCAATGGAACAAACAGGTTAGGGACAGCAGAGGTGGAAGTTCTGTGTCCATCCTCTTTAGTCCACTAAAATATCAAGAACAGTTGAGAAGTCAGAATTGTGACAACAGTAAGTGACACCACAGCATTCAACTTGTCCAACTCATCTCACATCTGGTCATGCACTGACCCTCACAGAGAATGAACCAATGACCATACCACAGCGTCACTGAAGTGGCTAGAAACCAGTCATGCACGGAGCCAGAGTTGTGACCGACTGGCAAGGCCCGTCAAAAAGCCCAGCTGAAACCCAGGGCACAACAGAGGCCGCTGACAGAGCTAAGCCCCAGGATGGCCTCAGACTAGTCACAGAGGACCCTTCAGAGCACATTGGTTCACTGCTCTGAGAGACCCCAGCACCAAAGCCGGCGGGAAGCATGAGATGACAGCGTCATGAGAAGCAGCACAATGTGGCTGGCCCGGTGAGGGAAGACTGTGTGGTGAGGCAAGAGTGGGCATCACCAAAGCTGGCATTACCAAAGCTGGCATTAAAATAAACTCCGCATCAGAATGCACTGTTTGCGTAGCTATTTCAACCCAAGAAAATTACTGTATGAAGACTTATACAGTAGCTACCTGGTGGAAGAGTTTGGTGATGTCAAGTACTTTATACAGTTAATACCTCTGAGTGTTACAACAATGTCCCACACAAACGTAAAGCACTCACAAGCCCTCACTGGAAGGCTGTTTTAGATACCAGTGCATATTACCGGCACACTGCGCCTTTCATGCGTACTTTTTTTTCGGACCTCCAATCAAATGAGATTTTTAATCAAATTCTAACCCTCAGGCATGAGTTGGCACTGAACACTAAAACAAGCCCGTGGCAGAGAGCAGATGTTATGCCTTTCAGAGTGTTTTCAAGAGGCAATAAAATAGCCATAAACCAAGAGTTTCTGAAGAAAGCAGCGAAACTGTCCAATGCTGTGCCGCTGTGCAGGCAGCGTGAGATGGGCATGGGCTGCGAGGCACTCACTGCCGTTATCTCCTCAGACAAAAATAACTGCAGCTTCTTACCAAACACAACGCTTAGTCAAACATTAAAGCAATCACCTCAGAAGCTTGAACACGTTAAAAAACTTAAGAACAATTATTATAAATTAATATACCAACCTGGGAACAGTGCAAGGAACTCGTATTACTCCAGAACAGTAAGAAACAAGTTTAAAAGCTGAACAAAGTCTCCCCTCTTCAACTGACACAATGACTAAATAAATACCTAAGGCAAGTTATTATTTTTCCAAGCAAATAGTAAATAAGGCTCAAAGCTGCTGCGACACATACGCTTAGGAAAAAGTCCTCACAGCAGTTCAGCACTCTGTACGCATATGGTCAGCAGAAAGTAATTTTTAGGCCCACTCCCTTTAACAAGTAAACTAAATTAGAAACTAAACAAACAAAATGGAAAAAGAAAGGGTCAGAGAGAGAGAAGGAAGGTGAGGAGGCCGGAAGAGGAGACGGGCCCCAACCTGGAGCCCGGCCATATGCACGCAGAGTCTCTGCCGCCTGACACGCTCTCAGGGGCACAGAGGCTGCCTCACCAGCTGTGCCTCAGGAGACACCCGACCCACCTGGGGACACAGAACGCACTTCTTGTAAATGAACCTGTGAAGCAGGAGCACTTTCACAAGGGGAGCAGGACGGCCCGCTGGGCTCGCGTGGGGCCCCGTCTCAGGACATCTACGCTGATTTCACCTCTGCTCCTGAGGAACTAACCATGCAGAGATGCGTGCGTCCCGGCCTGTCCTCACATCAGGCCCCGCCTAGGCCTCGCCTACTGGGATGCAGGGCCCGGTGGACCGCCCAGGGCCAGGGCTGCCCAGGGACGTCTGAGCACCAGGACCACAGGCAGCCTTCAAGGCAGCGTTCCTCCTGACACGAGGCTCGCCTCCCAATGACTGGTGCTGGCACTTGCAGGTGGCCTGCTGCACTTGGGTCATGCCGCACCCAGCAGGAGCCAGAGACTCCACTATGGCTGTCTACTCACATGCAACAGTCCATGCAGAAGGGGGCTGGCTGAGAGCGTTCGGAGGCTCTGGGACGACAGCAAGTGGGGAAGGAGGCTAACGAGAGGGTCAGCTGAGAAGACGCCCGTGAGCTGTGAGGGAAAACTGCTTAAGAAAACACTAGGACTTTAAAGAACATGCCTAAGTTAGCAACTAAATCAAACAGCTGAATTTACGACATTAAAACAGCAGGCTATGCTCCAACTACATCTGTGTCATGAAGTATTAAAGATTCTTCAAATACGGTTTGAACTGAATGACAGCTCCCACTTTCAGGTTAATCCACGCAAGTGATGCGGTATTTCTGCTGTGCAGAGAGTTAGGTAATGCTGGAATTACTGCAGAGGCACAATATATCTTAAGCAGTTTCAAGCAGACAGTATTACTTGAATTACAGCTGAAGCAAAAGTGGGTTTGAATTCAGGCTGAAGAAGGTTAATGAGGAAGGTGTGCCTACAGTCTGGGTCAGAGGGCGAGTCCCAGAGCCTCCGGAGCCCCAGCGCGCCGACCTGCTCTACGTCATCTACCCATGAACAGAAGGAGGCACAGACCAAGCAGTTGGTAATACAGCTTGGCACGCAGACACCGGACGAGAGAGACTGCAGCAAGGGTTTCACGCGATCGTGTGCAACGCTCGTCCACACCTTAGTCTTCGCCTTGGGGCTGCCGCCGCTCTGCCCCTCCTCAGACGCGTCGTCGCCCCGGCCCGAGTTCAGCCACCTTGCCTTCTCTCGCTGCTGCTTCTGAAAGCTGTGTCTGAGAGGGGAGCACGTGCCCGAATCACCGTCACTAGCAAAGGAGTAACCTGTGACACTGGCAGGAACCTCCACATCGCTGTATTTTTTAGATTTCTCTCTCAGAGCAGGGTACCGGTAAGGGTAGCCAGTTCTATAACCCTAGGGACCGAAAAAATAAGAGACAGTCAATATTCCAGATCTCAAAACACAATTTCACTTTAAAAACTATAAAAGTAGAGAATATGCACACCCTATGTACGTGGCTGCCCAGGAGAAGTACAAGTATGTTCACAGGTACGAAAACACTAACAGCTGCACGATTCCCAAAGCCCCAAAGTAAAAAAAACCCAGAAGTCCATCAACAGTAGAATGGATGAACTGATGTCCATTCACACAGCAGGATGGGACACAGTAGGGAGAACATGCTATTACCAGGGGAAACATCTGCATGAATATTCACAAACACAACAGGAAGTGAGAGAAACCCTAAGGTGAAAGAACGTACCATACAACTCCATTTACAAAAAGAGGAAAACCAGTCTGCGCTGTTAGGAGGGACAGGGGTCACCCCTGGGACACAGTAAAACTCAAAGTGGGGACAGGAGGTTCTGGGTGCTGGCATTTGACATGGGTGCTGGATATACAGTATGCTCAGTTCTTAAGAATTAATATAGGTACCCTCTTCTGTTTTTACATATATATATCAAGAAAAAGTTAAAATTTAAAAGGCAACCTGGGTTTACCTGCTGCTGGCTACAGAACAGGTTATATTAACATACTTAACACTTTTTTTTTAACCTTTTCAGTCACAGTTTAAATATTGTGATAATCTTTCAGGAAGACCAAACACCTCAGACAGCTGGTACCTGGCAAAATCACTTCACCTCTAAATGCAGCAGCACTTGAGTGAGCCTTCAACCCTGGTCTCCTGCGCTTCACAGCCCACAGCCCGCTAATTCCTGCCTCTGTAACAGCACTAAGTCCGTGTGCCCCCCACATGCTGACCCCACAGACAGCGCCTCCAGGCCAGGATGATGCCTTCCTCACCCGTCCCCAGAACTGAGTGTCGGGGAGCCTGACCGACATGACAGAGGCCCTCAGGGCCCCACCTCCATAAAACCCTTCCCCTACACTACCAGCGGGCCCAGGGCCTGCTTGAAGACAGAAGCACTCAGCCAAGGTGACAGGATGTGCTGCAGGAGAGCACAGCGCCCACCTTGAGAGGGTCCCCCGGTCCACTAGGACGCTGAAGGAGCAAGCTGCCCTGACACCTGAGCGGCAAGAACATGAAGTCTGCCCACCATGTGCAGAGTCTGGAAGTGGATCCTCCACCATGAGAGCCTTCTGCTGAGAAGCCAGCCTAGGCCAACAGCCTGACTGCAGCCCTGGGAGGCCTGACGCCAAGGACCTGACTCAGCCTGGACTGTGCCTGGACTCCCGACCCAGTGTCATGCCTGGACCAGGTGATTCACGGCACCTTCACTGTGAATGATGAGGGGATTCACACTTGAAAGGATCACACAGGGATGGTAGCAAGGATGAGTCAGTGGCTACATTCTACCTGCCAAGCTACTTCAGAAATGTTGCTCTGAATGTAGGCATTCTCCTTCCTCTCTGGATGATCCTCCTCGTGGGAGGCCGCCTTTACTACCAACCATTCCCTTAAAACATTCAAAAAACGGTGGTAATGACCCCTGAATGGAGTTGGCTGTTGTTTACTTTTGTTTTGTAACTACACTCAGTAAGATAGATAAATGTCTTCCCTTTTTTAACACGCTTTTTCCCATTTACGAGCATGCTTTGTTGAAGAATAATAAAAAATAGCAACTCAGCTACAAAAGGCTGCCTTCTGAAGAGACAGCCCCTGACCCACTCAGGCTTCCTCTTGCGGAAAGTCAGGGCTCTTCAGTAACCTTCATGAGTTTCAACTGAACCATCCAGGGTGTCACAAACTTTCATTCTGAGGGGGTATGGATTTTTTCTTTATTCTTCCCCTTTAAATGCCAGACCAAAAGCAGAGCAAAACTCAGACCTCAGACCTACTATATATTAAAAATTGGCTTTATTCCTTCTTTTGAGAAGCTGGCATTATATCTTGATTTTTTGGGTAACAAGTTAGCATTTCTTCTGTGTATGCCAGATATGTTTATGACTATCATATGAAATATTTCTTACAGTGTGAGAATCTTCAACTATTCTCTACTGACTGAATTATTAGCAAACATATACTGTTGATCAGAATGCTAAGTTAAAACACAGAATGCTCCTGCTGCTGCTAAGTCGCTTCAGTCGTGTCCGACTCTGTGCGACCCCACAGCCGGCAGCCCACCAGGCTCTCCCGTCCCTGGGATTCTCCAGGCAAGAACACTGGAGTGGGTTGCCATTTTCTTCTCCAAAACACAGACTACAATCAGTGATTGCTGTTCAAGTTTATTTCTGATAAACCACAGAGCCTTCTAATATTAAGAATAACCTGTGCACATTAAGGGCACTGAATAAAATACCCTTGCTATAATCTCGCCTATTTTCTTTCATCCTTTATCTCCACCCCCCCTCAAATTAGAGTTACCAACTCTAACTCTCTCTGCACCTTCCAGAAAGTACTGAGTGCAAACATGTGGCAGGCTGGTATTCTCCTGATTTTCACTCCCCCCTCCCATCCCTCGCTTGGCTGTAAGAGGAGGGAAAGGTCAAACTATCTGCCCGAGGGAGAGAAGAGGGCACGGTGAGACTGCAGCCCCCACGACCCTTGCTCTGCCCGGCCCCTCCGGCGCCAGCCTCCGGGTCAGATGCCAGGGTTACTGCCCCCACTCTCAGCCTGCTCTGGGGGACTCTCCCGAGACGGCACTACCCCAGCCTGCCTCTTCCACTGGTCGTCTCCATGAGCTCGGTTCCCTTCCTGTCCCCACGCCCAGTCCTGGCTCAAGCCCCATCTCTGCCCCTGCAGCCACCATGGTGCTCCGTCAGGCACATGTCGAGGTGCTGGGCTGCATCTGGGATCTGTCTGTCACATCCCGACAAGGCCATGGACTCCCCGTGTTCCCACGCACAGCTAGACGAGGCGGTCAGTAGGTGCAGCCCAGCCTCCCAAGCAAGCGAGCTCAGCAGTCAGGAGAGCCTGCTCTCCATTCACCCCCTCCCCAGTCACACCCACGCCATCATCATCACTGCTCAGTCCTTCACTCCCCGCTCTCCCTTGACAGCAGCAAATGTTCTCCCAAGTCAGAGAACTTCAGGGAGAAGAACCTTCTGAGGACACTTAACACACGCTGAACCAGATCCATGAGTTCTTCTCTTCAGAAAAGTGAAACTTCCTGCCTCCTGAAGCCACCCATCCCCGCCAAGACCTGGTCCAATGGTGGGAACTCATGTGAAGCCGGCACCAGCCCGATTGATGGCTTCTCTGCCCCACACGCCCACTATTTAATGTCCATGTGGCCACAGGACAGACTCCTGAACCCTAAAAGATGTGATGCTGTAGCAGGAGAAGGGCCCAGCACCGAGCCATCCGTCTTGACTGAGGTTGCTTTGACCCTAAGCGCCTTGCCGTGAGTATTTAAACTGACTGGAGAGATCAGAGACGGACCAGAAAGGCAGGGTCCTGGCCCCTCAGCCAGGTCGCCTGTCGTGCCCGCGGCTGGGTCTCCGGTCGCGCACATGGCCAGGTTACAGTTGCCTCCCTTTTCCCAGCATAAGCTGTCACAGTCTGACCTCTTCTTTAAGGTCACTCTCAAGGGTCACCCTCTACAAAAATTTCCTCTATAATCTTTGCAAAAGGAAGACATCCCTCACTGCAACCAGACAGGCCACATCCTACCACAGACTACTATAACATTCCTATTAAGCTGAAAGCCCCAGGGCCATGCTCTGTTCCACGCTGGGTGCCATGTCCCTGCAGGAGGCAGCAAAGGGTCTCCCACGCAAGAGATCAGCAGCAAAGCGTGTGAGACGCAGCGGACAGGCCCCAAGCGGCTAGCATTTACTGTTATAGCAAACAAGACCCTCGGCTGACCGACTGATGCACAAAGGCCCCCTGGACAGCTTGCTTTTGGGCTGATGGGTCCTGAGCTGACCCTGCTACTCGAGGACTCAGTTACCCAGCAAAGTACACTATCCTCTGTGCTACTATCCCCACACAAATAATACTATCTTTAAAAACAAAAGGAGACAAGAAACCCTCACCAGTGTATTCAATCACAATTTAGCTTAGAACTTAAACTGCCCTGGTACACATACATGGTTCTGGAGACTGAGAGCATTCTGACACTGCCTGAAAACAGTGATTTCATAATACCATTTCACTAGCTATAAAAACACCAACATCTGTGCTCTTAAGATGAAAGCAGTATCATCAAGTGGTGACCACATTCTTACCAGATTATCCAGCATCCGCATCAGGGCTTCAAACTCCTGCTCACCGATCTGCCACTTGGGCGGTGATCCGCTGCCCTCCCCTGCCGGGGACCCGGGGACCCGGGACTTGGCTTTGTACTTTCCAGGATCCAGGAGGACTAAGTTGTCTGGCCCTCCCGCACTCGCCAGAGTTCGAACCTTTTCCAAAACAAGCAAACACAACAGTTGGAGTTCCTTACTGATCAAGCAGGTCAGATGACTATGAGAGATCACTTCAATAGAAATGGAGGTGTCAAAAGAAACCAAATCACTGCAAGAATAAAAAATGCAAGATGGAAGTGACAGATAAATCACAAGACTATTTTCAGAAACTTGTCTTTAGCATGAAAAAATAGTGGGCACTCACACCTGAAGAATAAATGGGAAAACAAAGCCCCTTCCAAGGTCATATAAAGGAGACTGGCAGCTGCTACTACACAGACTTATAAGTCGGGGTAACAATGAGGAATGTGCAAACGGGGATCTGAGCAGACCTAGCATAAGCAGCACCCAGAGCTGCTAGACTGTGGGCAAAGCTCTACTCCCTGCACCTACTTTTTCAAAAGGAGGGCCTGGGTTCAAATGAAATGACCCATAACAACATAAATAAGCACCTGATATCAAGGCCCATATCTGCTAGCCCTCCATAAATGTTAATGACTTATGTATTTGAAAAATTAAAGTTAGAAATGACCAGACCACATGGAGTGGCCACCACCTACCTGGATCTCACACGCAACCACAAGGTTGTGGATGTAATAGAAGGCCTCCTCAACGCTCTCTCCAACAGACACAAGACCGTGATTCCGGAGAATAAGAACCTAAGGGAAGAACCAGGAAAGTTCTAGGGACCAGGCAAGAAGACAGATACGTTTTCTTCTTCCCTTGATAATTTAAATACCAGATTAGATGCCTACTGACCTTGCTTTTAGGCCCCAAATTTTTCTGAATTAAAATTTTTTCTTCCTCATCGACCAGAATCCCATGATAATCATGGTATGCCACTTCTCCAAGGGAAAGTGCCTCCGGGGAGATGGGCAAGAGGCCACACTTCATCGCAGAGACCTAGAAAACAAGAAGCGGCATCCATGTAGACAAGTCAGGAGTGCACATGAACTGAGAATTGGCATACGCGCTCCTCAAACTGTTCTTTCAGAAATAAAGGAGCCCATGAAATTAGGATAAGCCTTAAGATTACTTCTGGGTCTTATTACCAATGCATACTTTTAAAAATCAAAGCCACCATTATCAAGGAAGACTTAAAAAAAACTTTCACATCTTTCTGGATTTCTCCCACACTGACTGTAAACAAGAAGTGAGCTCAGATTTAATAAGATTAGCCCCAAAGCTGTTACAGGGAGAGACGATGTGCCTCTAAATGAGGCACAATGCTGCAAAGAGAAGTTTCTGAAGAGTTGAGAGGTTTTTGTGTACTTTTCACCTTAGTTCATAGGTGTGATAGGAATACCTGAAAATGAGATAAAAGGAAATTTATAAAGGTTTAGGATAAGTATACTGTATAATTTCTCTACATTTATTTAAGTGAAAAATCTAAGTGTCCATATAGCCCTTTAGTTTCCTTAAATTTCCCAAACTGACCTTAGAATATGCTAATTTTAAATGTCTTCTACCTAGACAGACTCCAGAGATTTAAATTAAAACTGTAATAATTTTTTACAGAAAAGTTAATCTAAAAAGACAATACCCCCAAAAAAGGCAATATCATTATTTAATTCCTTTCACAGTAACAGCTTTTCTATAAGATATTTCATTACAAAGTAAAGTTACTTTGTTAAGTTTTAAAACAAATTACATGCTAGATTCTCAAAGGTACCTCTAAGAGTTCCTTTAAAAGCATGGATTTGTCGGGGCTGGAAGATCTATATCACTTGGAGAATGATATCTAATAAAACTGATGCCAACATTAAGACCCGTATCTTCAAAGTAAAGCAAATAAACCAGATTCTCACGTTCATCCATACAAGCAAAGATCTATGACATTAAAACATCTAGATAGAGTAAAATTCAGTATTTCTTAATCAATGAGGTCATCTGTCAAACACACAAACCCAGAAAGTCATTAAAATACAAAACTGGTGATAAAAAGCCAATTCCAGCTAGCTCTTGAGTGTTTGGCTCTCACAGGGCTATACTAACAACCAGAAAGCCTATTTTCATACTGAGGGGCCTGAGGCTTTGTCAGGTGGCCTGTTTGTACCAGAGGGCCCAGACTTGGTCATCAGCGTGGGGCAGGCTCCTGGCCAAGCAGCTGAGTCTCCTCTAACGGCCTGGACCAGTTACACCACACAGTTCACAGGATCTCAGCTCCCCAATCAGGGACTGAACCCAGGCGACAGCAGTGAACACGTGGAGTCCCACCCACTGGACCACCTAGGACCTCCCTCCTCCTCCCTCCCCACCCCCCCTTACTCCCCCCCAGTCACGGTCCAACCTAGGTTCCCTTGACTCCAGGCAGGTTATCTGTGGATGGCTGGCTGGGTTTGTCTCTAGGCCTCAACCTCTCCACCCATACAGGGCTCCGTGCCACAGTCCATCAAGCAGGCTCAAGTCTCCTATACCCTACTAGACCTTCCACAGGGAGAAGCCCACAGCTCCTCCCCCCACCACCCACCTCCCCACTCCTCTTCCCACTCCTCCTCTCAGACAAGGATCCTCCACTCACTGCTATCGCTCGGCACTTCCCACGCAGCCTCCCAGGCACTGAAGTCTCACCCCCTCTTTAACACACCGATTCTTGTTAAGTCTTATGACGTCTTCAGATTTATTACGCTTTTCAAAATTCAGATAGATGGGCCTCCCTGCTGACTCAATGGTAGAGTAAAGAATCCAACCGCTAATACTGAAGACACAGGTTCGAGCCCTGATCCGGGAAGATTCCACGTGCCTCAGGGCAACTAAGCCCTTGTGCCACAACTCTCGAGCCTGGGCCCTAGAGCCTGCGAGTCACAACTAGGGACGCCCACATGCTGCACCTGCTGAAGCCTGTGCGCCCAGAGCCCGCGCTCCACAGCAAGAGAGGGGACCCCTCACTGCAACGAGAGAAGAGCCCACGCAGCAACGAAGACCAGCACAGCCAAAAGTAAGATAAAGAAAAGTATAAAAAATGAAGTTTAAAAAAATTAGTAAATGGACCCCTTAAATACATATATATATATATATATCCTTTAAAGAAAGTCACATACAGTAGTAAAAAAGTCTTCTAACCCAACGAGATGAAGGGCTCTGACTTGCTGCGACAAGAGAGGGCAACGTGAAGGAAAGGTGAAGCCCTGCCCCCCGAGCACCCTGTGACCTCAGGCTCTGCCAGAGCAGCACACACTCACCGCAGCGCCAGCTGGTGTGTGAATGTGCACAACACACCTCACATCCGGGCGTGCAGCATAAATGGCGGAATGCAACGTGAAGCCAGCCTGGTTCACTCCCAGATTAGTGCTCCCACGATCTACCATGTCTCCTTGTAGATTGACTTTAACCTGCAATAAGACAACAAACTTCAAATATCACGAGGATTTCAAGTTGTCCTAACTAGAAATTATTTAAAACAAAGTTTAAAGTGTTAATAAGTAAAAGTTTTCCCCTGAGTTAATCACACAAAACAGACTCTGCCCTTTTGCTTGACTTTTATATGTCTGTGCCCAAGAAGACAAGAACATTCTTACCAAACTGGACGCAGTCACTTCACTGTAGAGAAGTCCAAAAGGTACGATGAGGAAGTGCTCCTGCTCAGAGCTCACCCTGGTCTGTGGGGAGAATTACCAAATTAGTTCAAAAATCCTACTGAAATTACCTGCATCTCTTTCTGTCCACAGACTTACAAGTTTTCTGTGAACATTAGGTGTGCTACACAGGAATGCACTTAATTATAGGGCCTATCACAAAGCTAAGCGGTGATCTGAAAGCTTTCTATTATTACGCTGTAGTAGCTTATTAGGTACATAAAGTGTGACTTGATCATATTCATGATAATTAACCTTATGAAGAGAAAAACCTGTAGGCTACCAAACCAGTACCATGTGCTAAAAGGTGATCTCCTCAAGGGTGTAATAATGAAAACCAAGAGTTACTTTTTAAAAGTCAAAATGTCTTTTATTTTTTTTAAAGTACTCAAAACCTAGAGGATAGTGAACAATCATAAAAACCACAAAAAAGAGAAAGCTGCTCCCCTCCGCTTGATGACAAGTTTCTACACATTGCACCCTCACTCCTCTGGTCTATTTCTTCCTTCCGCAACATAGTTCTCTTTCAACAATTTGTTCAATACAGATCTGTCACACATGATAGATTTGTGCCAGATGCTAGTTATGTAGTTAAGAGAGAAAAAAAAATGAGTCTTTCCTAAGAAAGGAGAAGAAAAAAAGAGTCCTGTCCTAATGAAATGTAGTCTAATTTTTAATGATTTGGGAATAGATTCAACAGACTTCGCAAAGCTACTGGGATGGAATACATTTACTCTTGGGCCAAGAATTCTAACAAGGGTCAGACAGATGGAATTCAGTGGTTGCTGGAAAGGCCTTACGGCACTGAGTCAACTTCCTCGCCAGCGCAGTGGCTTCTGCAGTGGCCCAAACAGAAACACACGTGGCGTCTGTGTGGGCAGTGGCAGTGATGTCCTCAAACGGCCTGCCTCACTCCTTCACTCTGCAAACAGTCCCTGGTGGGCCACAGTCCATGGGGTCACAGACAGTCAGACTGAAATGACTTAGCGCACACGCACACCCTTTTCTTACTGATAGTTCTTTATCTAGTCTGGATACTAATTCTTTGTTGGCTACCCCTGAGGCAGAAGCAGAAGATATTAAGAGGTGGCAAGAATACACAGAACTATACAAAAAAGATCTTCATGACCCAGATAACCACGATGGTGTGATCACTCACCTCGAGCCAGACATCTGGGAATGAGAAGTCAAGTGGGCATTAGGAAACATCACCATGAACAAAGTTAGTGGAGGTGATAGAATTCCAGCTGAGCTACTTCAACTCCAAAAAGCTGATGCTATTAAAGTGCTGCATTCAACACACCAGCAAATTTGGAAAACTCAGCAGTGGCCACAGGGCAGGGAAAGGTCAGTTTTCATTCAATCCCAAAGAAAGGCAGTGCCAAAGAATGTTCAAACTACTGCACAACTGCACTCATTTCACACGCTAGCAAAGTAATGCTCAAAATTCTCCAAGCCAGGCTTCAACAGTACATGAACTGAGAACTTCCAGATGTTTAAGCTGTATTTAGAAAAGGCAGGGGAACCAGAGATCAAATTGCTAACATCTGCTGGATCATAGAAAAAGCAAGAGAGTTCCAGAAAAACATCTACCTCTGCTTCATTGACTAACTAAAGCCTTTGACTGTGTGAAACACAACAAACTGTGGAAAATTCTTCAAGATATGGGAATATCAGACCACCTTACTTGCCTCCTAAGAAATCTAAATGCAGGTCAAGAAGCAACAGTTAGAACATGGGACAACAGACTGGTTCCAAACTGGGAAAGGAGTACGTCATGGCTGTATATTGTCAATCTGCTTATTTAAATTACATGCAGAGTACATCATGCAAAATGCCAGGCGGGATGAAGCACAAGCTGGAATCAAGATTGCCAAAAGTATCAATAACTTCAGATATGCAGATGACACGACCTTTATGGCAGAAAGCAAAGAGGAACCAAAGAGCCTCTTGACGAAAGTGAAAGAAGAGAGTGAAAAAGCTGGCTTAAAACTCAACATTCAGAAAACTAAGATTATGGCAACCTGTCCCATTAGTTCATGGCAAATAGTTGGGAAACAAAACAGTGAAAGATTTTACATTCTTGGGCTCCAAAATCACTGCAGACGGAGACTGCAGCCATGAAATTAAAACATGCTTGCTCCTTGGAAGAAAAGCTATGAAAAACCTAGACAGCACATTAAAAAGTAGAGACATTACTCTGCTGACAAAGGTCTGTATGGTCAAAGCAATGATTTTTCCAGTAGTCATGTATGGATGTGAGAGTTGAACCATAAAGAAGGCTGAGCGCTGAAGAACTGATGCTTTTGAACTGTGGTGTTGGAGAAGACTCTTGAGAGTCCCTTGGACTGCAAGGAGATTCAACCAGTCAAGCCTAATGGAAATCAACCCTGAATATTCATTCATTGGAAGGACTGATGCTGAAGCTGAAACTCCAATACTTTGGCCACCTCATGTGAAGACCTGACTCATTGGAAAAGACCCTGAGGCTGGGAAAGATTGAAGGCAGATGGAGAAGGGGATGACAGAGGATGAGATGGTTGGATGGCATCACTGACTCAATGGACATGAGTCTGAGCAAGCTCTGGGAGATGGTGAAGGACAGGGGAGAATGGCGTGCTACAGTTCATAGGGTCACAAACAGTCAGACACGACCAAGCAATTGACGACCACCAGCACCCATGAGGCAAAATATTCTAGACTGTAACCTTTTATTCTCACTCTTTTTACGGTGGCTTTTAATGACAAGAAATTTGTTTAACATAGTCAAATTTATCCATCTTTTCTTTTATGATAAGTGCTTTGGCGTTGTAAGACAACTTTCCTTCAGTCAGAGGTTAAAAGTCAATTTTTTTCATTTATATTGATCCTAACCTGGCATGTTGAAGTCCATGCGGTCACAAAAAGTCAGACACAACTAAGCAACAAAATTATTAAAGTATTATTTTTCACATGTAATCCTTAAATCACTAGAATTGCTTGTTAAGTCTATAATTTATAAGTGGAAAATCCAATACAACTTTCCATCTCTGATTTTTCAATCCAGTTGTGCCAGCACCAATCATAGCCTGGTCTATCATTCCCTTGCCGACCTGCAATGCCAACTCTTATGTATCTGCTTTCAATAGAGGCAAATCCAGTTCTGGGTTCTGTCTCGCTGGTTTATCCGTTTCTTCCTTTGCCTAAAGCATGCTATTTTAATTATCGTCATATTGTAAGTGTGACATTTGATAGGAAAAAATTACCATATTACCTACTTTTTCAGGAGTGCCTTGTCTATTCTAGGCCTTTTCCCTACACATAAATTTTAGAAGCATGATATCAGGTCCCACATTAACAAAAATACTACACAGCCAGTTGTAATCACTTCTTTTCTCTTTGTGTGTATGTGTGTATTTACACACATAATTCATATAGCTATAACAGTATACATTTTATACTCTCATAATAATTTCATGCTTTCACAAGGTCTTTATAATTGTTTTTCATGATATGTAATAGTCTCTCAAACTGATGTTTAATAACTGAGCCATTTCCCACCTACTGCAGGATATTAAGACTCAAATATACTTATACATAATGTTTTCTTCCTTTTTTAAAAACTGTTGGCTATGCAGCACACAGGCCTCTCTTAATTGCACTGTACAGGCTTTCAAGTTGCAGTTCCTGGGCTAGTTGCCCTGCAGCATGTGGGATCTGAGTTCCCCAACCAGGGATGGAACTCGCATCCCCTGCATTGAAAGGAGGATTCTTAACCACTGGACCACCAGTGAATTCCCCATGTTTTCTTCTGTGACTTCTTTCCTAACCATATTTTTCCAACAGTGAGTTCAACAGATCTACACATTTTAATGGAAAAAGTTTAAAACATACAATTTTCTGAATTGCAAACAAAAAGAAGAAAGTGCTAAACACTAAGCCCCAGAATGAATGAAAAAAAAAAACAAAACACACATTTCAAAGAAAGTTTTCTAGTCCCCAGTGGACTAGCGCTGGTGTCACTTCATGTCTTCCCACATTTAATACCCCTTCTCTGTGCCCAAGGAATGAGTGTTAATGTCTTTCACTCAAAACCAAATATACCTGTTTCTGGCAAAAATGCCTGTCATGTCCCCAGAGCACACCGCACTGTGCACCCCCACCGCTGAAGCTCACCACCTCAGAGGGTTAACACATCACGTGGAACGCAGGACGGAGGTGAACCCAGCACTCCACTGACACCAAGAGGCGTTTAGGGACAGAAGGGCCCTGCCATCAGCTCAGTGCCACCAAGAGAGGAAGCCCAGCTGGGCTATCCTGTTTTTTGTCCCCACCCCCACCCCACCGAAAGCTTCTCTAAATCCAAAACAATCTTAAGATAGCAATGTAATTCAGACAATCATCCCCAATCCTCTAACACCTGTTAGCACTCTTAAATCCCTTTAGCGGGAAATCTCTTGCCCTCTTTCAGAGAAAGGGCACAATGACCTCTGGGCACATTGGTTGTACTGATACCGTTAATATGTCTTTTCTTAAACCTGTATATGAAAATACCTACACTTTGAAAAAATGGATGCCATAAATAGTTAAAAAATAACAAAAACCTTCTTTCTTAAAGATCCTATAGCTCACAAGCTATAAGAAGTATTTTTTGGTAACTTCTTTTTCATTCAGTGTTAAGTCCCAAGCAGAACACTTATAGAAAAGTTAAACAACTAACTAAATGTTTTAATTCTGCCAAGTCCTAAATAATTAAAGGCGGAAAAAGGAGCAATTTAAGCAATTCAAACTTATTTAAATAGCATTCATAACAGGACTAGCACTAAACAGTTTTTAAAGACCCAGAGAATGTAGGGTGGCATTAAGCCAAGGATCATATTTCCTATTAGTGATGCAATGTTTTCATGGAACTAATTTTTAGGCAACCACTTAGCATTACATCTCTACACAAAGCATTCTGTCAAATATGATTAGTCACAGCGGCCAGCAGTTTCCACGCAGGCACCAGGAGGAGAGCCGGCACTTGTGGGAGGCTAACTGGATCCACTGATCAAACAAAAGACACCGTGGAGTGCCTGTTTCATAATTTTACTGAAGCAGAATTTCAGTTCAACTGGAGATTTCATTCCGTCATTCCATCCGAGAGTTCACAATGTTCCTCCTGTGCCCAGCACAGGAACTGGTCCTAGGGACACAACCAGAGGCTCCCGTCACGGAGCTGATATGGATGACAAGCAAGCGCACAGTGTGGACGGCAGAGACTGCCATGAGGGACACGGAGCAGGAGAGCCAGGTGGAGGGGACACTCCACAAGCATGGCGGTGTGGATACAAGAGAGCCAGACTCACACTGTGAGAGGTTCGCTTTTGCAGCAATGTAGAGAACAGACACAGGGGAAGTTAACTCAGTTCATCTAGCAAAGATTCCTATCATGTCCCAGAAGCACAGTACCCTGCTCACAGAGGTGGGCCTCAGACCACCATCATAAAGGTTACTGTTCCCTGGGGTCGAGAGTGGAGCTGAGGGCTTCTCTGATGGCCCAGTGGCTGGGGGTCCACCCTGCAACGCAGGGGATATGGACTGAATCCCAGGTCCCAGAAGATTCCACATACCACACACTGGGCCCGTGTGCCACAACTGCTGAGCCGGCACCCTGAAACTACTGCAGCCCACACGCCCTAGGGCCCACGCTCTGCAACGAGAGCCCACTGCAGAGCCCGCACACTAGCTTGAGGGTAGGTCCCACTCTCCACAGCTAGAGAAAAGCCTGCACAGCGAGTGAAAAGACACAGTGAAGTCAAAGTTAAATAAATATTGTTTTTAAAAAAAAAGAAGAAAAAAATGCAACTATCAAAAAAAAAAAGAATAGAGCTGAACTAAATACCAGTGATTATGAGACCACAAGTAAAACACACCTACACACGTGTGTTAAGTATTGTTTCCTGAGTGTGTTAAATACGCAGAAATGGGTAATCTAAACAGCTATTAACTCTGGTTATCTCAAGGTGTTAAAAGTACTCAGAGGACTATAACTTCTTCTTTTATATCTGTGTGAGGTACATTTGCTACAATAAATATATTTTTAAAATATTCAATGAAAGAAATTATAAAAGCAGACGAGATCAAGTGGTTCAAAAACGAGATCACCTCTAGGAGAGAGACAAGAAACAAGAGAGCAAAGGGGAGGGGAGAAAGCCAGAAACCTCACAACACACTGCTGTTGTTCAGGAGCTCGGTCAGGTCCAGCTCTTTGCGACCCCATGACTGCAGCAGGCCAGGCTTCACCGTCCATCACCAACCCTCAGAGCTTGCTCAAATGCATGTCCATTGAGTCAGTGATGCCATCCAACCATCTCATCCTCTGTCATCCCCTCTCCCTCCCGCCTTCTATCTTTCCCAGACTCAGGGTCTTTTCCAATGAGTCAGGTCTTCGCATCAGGTGGCCAAAATATCAGAGCTTCAGCTTCAGCTGAATATTCCAATGAATATTCAGGACTGATTTCCTTTAGGATGGACTGGTTGGATCTCCTTGCAGTCCAAGGGACTCTCAAGAGTCTTCTCCAACACCACAGTTCAAAACCATCAATTCTTCAGCGCTCAGCTTTCTTTATGGTCCAACCCTCACATCCATACATGACTACTGGAAAAATCATTGCTTTGACCATATGGGCTTTTGTCGGCAAAGTAATGTCTCTGTTCTTTAACGTGCTGTCTAGATTTGTCATAGCTTTTTTTCCAAGGAGCAAGTGTCCTTTATAATTTCATGGCTGCAGTCCCCATGTGCAGTGATTTTGAACCACAAGAAAATAAACTCTTTCACTGTTTCCACTGTTTCCCCATCTATATGCCATAAAGTGGTGGGACCGGATGCCATGATCTTAGTTTTTTGAATGTTGAGTTTTAAGCCAGCTTTTTCACTCTCCTCTTTCACAACGCATTAGGAATCTAAAAAAGTAGGAAGTGATGGAATGCCAAGCCAGGAAACAAAGTCTGACCTGCAGGTAGGAGTCAGGACACTGCAACATGTGGTCAGGAGTATAAAGTGGGCACAAACATCAGGAAAGAGGTGCCATTTTCCTGGCAACACAACACGGTCATCTGTGGGGAGGAGGGGCTGGGAGAGCTGCACACAGAAGAAGACACTGGAGAGACCTGAGTGAGCTTGAAGAGAAGCGCCCAACCGCTGTCAGACAGCAGTGCGGGTCCACTTGAGCCTGAGGCTGTCAATCTATGGAGAAAGCCAGCAGGCTCTCAGCTTCTCAGGTACAGGGAGGAATAATACAGTGCTGGCAGAGAGTATCACTGAGATGATGGACCCTGAAAGCCAGGCTGGACATGACAGAGAAAACATGGCTGATGGGCCAAGATACAGAAGGAAAACCCCAGAAAGGCAGGACTTGTCTCTTTTACTGATACAACCCCAGAGTCAGAATCATGCCCAGTACAGAGCAATAAACAGTTACAGAAGATGCCCAGTAAAAACTCATTGCAAGAATGAACTAAAGAAAATAAGAGGTCCTAATAATGTTGATAAATGGCTAACGGAATAATTGAAGAATTAAGTATGAAAAACAGAAGGCTTTGGTCAAAGTAGGAAAGAAAATATCTTCATTCTTGGCACCTTAGCGATAAGAAGAACTTTTTGTTGTTGCCGTTCAGTCACTAAGTTGTGTCCAACTCTGCAACCCCATGGACTGCAGCATGCCAGGCTTCCATGTCTTTCACTATCTCCTAGAGTTTGCTCAAACTCAGGTCCATTGAGTTGGTGATACCATCCAACCATCTCATCCTCCGCTGCCCTCCTGTCTTCCCGCCTTCCATCTTTCCCAGCATCAAGGTCTTTTCCAATGAGTTGGCTCTTCCCATCAGGTGATGGAAGTGTCAGACCTTTAGTTTCAGCCATCAGTCCTTCCAGTGAGTATTCAAGGTTGATTTCCTTTAGGATTGACTGGTGTGAGCACCTTGCTATCCAAGGGACTCTCAAGAGTCTTCTCCAGCAGAACAACTCGAAAGCATCAATTTTTTGGCATTCAGCCTTCTTTACAGTGCAACTTCAAAGAGAACTTTATGAACTGCCTATAATTTGGTTAACACTCATTTATTAGGTTATCATCAAGAAAAGAGTTTTAAAGAACTAATGTCCTCATAGCTTTTAATTCAAACTGGCTAAATCTCCGATTATTGTGTGGCGCAGTCAGGAATCAGAAGGAAGGTATCCCAAGACTTACTTTGGCTTAGCCAGATTCCCTCTTCCTCTGAATGAAAAGAGGTGGTACTAGACACATAATATCCCACTTTTTGTTCAGTTATGACCCCATTCAATACTCACTGTGATATGATTGTAGATAAGCTGAGCCCATCCAAAGAGATCCGCTAGTCTATAAAACGCTGCCAGTTTACACCGCAGTAACTTCTCCCCTTTGTCATAGGCAATAGAATCAGACCCTCTCAGGTCATTCACAGGAGTCACCATACCAAGACCTGAAATATAAAAGGAAAAAAAAAGATTCAAAGACTTAATGTTTCTTGTCAAATGTAACTCAAACAACAACAGTAGAGATACTAATCCTCCCACAATGGGTCATGAGGTAAGTCTTGAAAATGTTCAAGGCTGTTTTATAAAGGCTATGTTCCCCAAAATTAATACAAAAATTAGGGTAGAAATCAATAACAAAAAAGTAGCAAATTTGTGGGATGCAGTAAAGCAATACTTAGGAGGAAATTTACACTATTAAATATATAGATTAGAAGGGTTTTTTATTTTTAAATGATCTAGGTTTCTACCTTATAAAACTGCAAATTAAGCTCAAAAAGAAAAAAGCAATAAAGATCAAGCAGATAGAAATCAAACAAAAACAGAGAAAAGCCGATTTAATCCTGAGAAGGTTAAAAAAATAACAAAGTGAAAAACGAAAGGAAATAAAACACATTTCCAGCCCAGACTCATCAACAAAATACAGCAAAGACAGAAATTACCAATATGAACAAGCAAGAGGGAATATCACTACATATGCTATTGACATTAAAGGGATAACATGAACATCTATGACAGCAAATTTTTAAACTTAGATGAAACAGACAAATTCCTTGAAAGACAAAAATTTTTAAAGTTCACTCTGGAAGAAATAGACATACTGAACAGCCGTATTCATTAAGCTGAATTTGCAGAAAAAAACATTCCCCTAGGGAAAACTCTGGGCCTAGATGCCTGTGGTGTCAATTCTATTGCTCATTTAAGGAAGAAACAGTATCAATTCTGTACAAATTCTTCCAGAGGATTCTACACAAATTCTTCCAGAACACTTCCCAACTCATTCTCTGACCCAACATTACCTTGATATCAAAACCACACAAAGACATTATAGTACATGACATCACAAAAGAAGAAATAGACCAATATCCCTCATGAACACAGACCAGATATACTCAACAAAATTTCAGCAAATAATCCAGCAACATATAAAAAGGATGTGACTTCTCAGAGCGGCGCAGTGGTAAAGAATCCACCGGACAGTGCAGGAAGCACACGAGACACGGGTTCAGTCCCTGGGCTGGGAAGATTCCCCTGGAGCAGGAAATGGCAACCCACTCCAGTATTCTTGCCTGCTAAGTCCCATGGACAAAGGAGGCTGTTGAGCTACAGTCCATGGGGCCACAAAGAGCCAGACACAACTGAGCACGCGCGCGCGCGCACACACGCGCACACACACACACACAAAGAGTAACACCTCATAACTTAGGGAGTTTATCCCAGGAAAGAAAGATTGGCTCAGTATTCATAAACCAATCAATATAATTGCCATGTTCAACTAAAATAGAAAAATGATGGAATCACTTTAACAGACGCAGAAAAAGCATTTTGCAAAATTCAACATTCATTCGGGATAAAATCTCTCAACAGTTTAGGCATAGAAGGGAATAACCTTAATTTGATAAGGGACATATACAAAAAAACTACTAAAAATATCAAACAAAATGATGACAATGTTTACTCCTAAGATCAGGACAATGCAAGGATGTATGTATACTCTTGCACTCTTAATAAATACCATACTAGGAATTCTAACCAGTGCAATAAGGCAAGAATGAAGAAAATAAACAAAAACACACACTGGAAAAGAAGAAAAAGAACGTATTTGACTGCATGATCATTCTTGGTCATGACATAATTATCCTTGTTATATACTGTCTGCTAAGTAGATTCAGTCATGTCCAACTATTTGCGACCCTACAAACTGTAGCCTGCCAGGCTCTTCTGTCCATGGGATTCTCCAGGCAAGAATATTGGAATAGGTCGCCATGCCCTCCTCCAGGGGATCTTCCCTGTTATATACTGCTGATTTGATTTTAATGATGAACTGTCTCAAGCATACAGAAAAGTACAGAGAAAATAATCTGTGGAAACTGAAACACAAAGTGAATAGCATAGGACTCTCAAAGGGGGAGGGGAGCGTGGGAGTGAGAAGAAGAGAAAACAGAAGAAAAAATTCAGATAAAAACGAGGAAGGAGAATTAAGTAAGTTGCCATATTTTAGCACTTCACAAAAACAACAGAAGAGGGAGCCCTAGAGTCAGGATTCCTAAACCAGAGTCCTCCAGGAAAATTAACTCATGTAAAAATAAACAGAAAAATATGATCAAATACCACACAAAAATTATTAAAATAAAAAGGAAGAAAATCACATTCCTACAGATAATGAAAGCACACAAGAAAGAAATATCCACAAAACAAATGAAAACTATAACCTATTATTTCATAAAAAATAAAAGCATTAAAAATGAAAGTGAAAGTGTCGGTTGCTCAGTCCTGCCTCACTCTTTGCAACCCTTCACCGATAGCCCACCAGGCTCCTCTGTCAATGGGATTTACCAGGCAAGAACACTGGAGTTGGGTTGCCATCCCTTCTCCTGGGACCTTTCCAACCCAGGGATCAAATCCAGGTCTCCTGCATTGCAAGCAGATTCTTTACCATCTGAGCCACTAGGGAAGGTATGAAAAAATTTTAATATAATTGGAAAAATTCAGAAATTAGGAATGAATGTAAACGCAATTACATATAAATGAAAAACACTTTTAAAAATAAATACTAAAAAGAAGCATAAAGGTGAGAAAGAAGAAAAACTTTCTAAATCATAAAGAAATGAAGAAAGTGATTAAAAAAAAAGGACTTTAAAAAAAGTGACAGTTGAAGAAGACAAAGAAAATCCAACATGGGTGTACCAGGAAACAAAAGCAAGCGAACGGAACAAACACTAAAAACTAACTCAAGAAAACACTCTGAAAATAACAAAGATTTGGAAGGGAAAGGCACATTATCTGAGAAAACTGATCTAGAAGAATCAACACCAAGACATATTCTGGCAAAATTTCTGGACTCTAAAAAAAAAAAACATATATATAGTCAACCATCAAGGAAAGAAACCAAGTAACTTATTGGAAATACTGTCTTCAAATTCCAAGAAAATGAATTATGTATTTAAGATACATACAAAATATATACAAAATAGGAAATGTGAGCCAATGATTTTATACCAAACTAAATAAACAAAATTAACACTGACACATAAAGGCCACAATGCAAGAACTTGAAGTCCTTCCCACAGGTGTTTTCTGAGAAATTTACTCAGAAATAAAAGGAACTTCAGACAACCACACTGTCTCAGGGAACACTGATACACACTGATACAAGGACTGGTGGTGAGCATTCAATATATATATATTACAGGATTAAATTTCCGAGGTGGCACTAGTGGCCAAGAATCCACCTGCCAACGCAGGAAACGTGGATTCAATTCCTAAATCGGGAAGATCCCCTGGAGCAGGAAATGGCAACCCACTCCAGTACTCCTGCCAGGAAAATCCCATGGAAAGAAGAGTCTGGTGGGCTACAGTTCACTGGGTCGCAGAGAGTTGGGCGTGACTGATCACACAGACTGATTCACAGGATTAAGTTGTCAACTGTTGACACTGAATGAATCGCAATAAGGGAAGACCATTACATGCAATGGTTACATGCTCTGACAACAGAGAATATAACTATTTTAAAATATGAAGAGAGAACATACTGGTATAGGACTGATACTGCATGTGGTATGTGGGAAAAACCAAATGAGTTATCATGTAATATTCAACATTTGTTTTCCTCCCGTCCTGGAGAACCAGAATTCTTTTTTTTTTTTTGAATTTGTATATATATATATATTTTTTCCATTTATTTTTATTAGTTGGAGGCTAATTACTTTACATCATTGCAGTGGTTTTTGTCATACATTGAAATGAATTAGAAATGGATTTACATGTATTCCCCATCCCGATCCCCCCTCCCACCTCCCTCTCCACCCGATCCCTCTCGGTCTTCCCAGTGCACCAGGCCCGAGCACTTGTCTCATGCACCCAACCTGGGCTGGTGATCTGTTTCACCCTAGATAATATACATATTTCGATGCTGGAGAACCAGAATTCTTGAAAAAGAAAGGAAAACAAATGTCAGATAGAAAAGGTTAAATAAAAAAACCCTTAGACCTGACTTTTAACTGAAATTATGATTTCTATATCAGTTCAGTTCAGTCACTCAGTGTCCAACCCTTTGCGAACCCATGAACCGCAGCGCGCCAGGCCTCCCTGTCCATCACCAACTCCTGGCGTCCACCCAAACCCATGTCCATTGAATCAGTGATGCCATCCAACCATCTCATCCTGTCGTCCCCTTCTCCTCCTGCCCTCAATCTTTCCCAGCATCAGGGTCTTATCCAATGAGTCAGCTCTTCACATCAGGTGGCCAAAGTATTGGAGTTTCAGCTTCAACATCAGTCCATCCAATGAACACCAAGGACTGATCTCCTTTAGGATGGACTAGTTGGATCTCCTCGAAGTCCAAGGGACTCTCAAGAGTCTTCTCCAACACCACAGTTCAAAAGCATCAATTCTTCGGCGCTCTCAAGAGTCTTCTCCAACACCACAGTTCAAAAGCATCAATTCTTCGGCGCTCAGCTCTCTTTATGGTCCAACTCTCACATCCATACATGACCACTGGAAAAACCACAGCCTTGACTAGACGGACCTTTGTTGGCAAAGTAATGTCTCTGCTTTTTAATATGCTGTCTAGGTTGGTCATAACTTTCCTTCCAAGGAGTAAGCGTCTTTTAATTTCATGGCTGCAATCACCATCTGCAGTGATTTGGGAGCCCAAAAAAATAAAGTCTGACACTATTTCCACTGTTTCCCCCCCCCCCATCTATTTGCCATGAAGTGATGGGACCGGATGCCATGATCTTAGTTTTCTGAATGTTGAGCTTTAAGCCAACTTTTTCACTCTCCTCTTTTACTTTCATCAAGAGGCTCTTTAGTTCTTCTTCACTTTCTGCCATAAGGGTGGTGTCATCTGCATATCTGAGGTTATTGGTATTTCTCCTGGCAATCTTGATTCTAGCTTGTGCTTCTTCCAGCCCAGCATTTCTCATGATGTACTCTGCATATAAGTTAAACAAGCAGGGTGACAATATATAGCCTTGACATACTCCTTTACCTATTTGCAACCAGTTTTAACTGTTGCTTTCTGACCTGCATACAGATTTCTCAAGAGGCAGGTCAGGTGATCTGGTATTCCCATCTTTCAGAATTTTCCACAGTTTATTGTGATCCACACAGGCAAAGGCTTTGGCATAGTTAATAAAGCATAAATAGATGTTTTTCTGGAAATCTCTTGCTTTTTTGATGATCCAGCGGATGTTGGCAATTTGATCTCTGGTTCCTCTGCCTTTTCTAAAACCAGCTTGAACATCTGGAAGTTCATGGTTCACGTATTGCTGAAGCCTGGCTTGGAGAATTTTAAGCATTACTTTACCAGCATGTGAGATGAGTGCAATTGTGCGGTAGTTTGAACATTCTTTGGCATTGCCTTTCTTTGTGATTGGAATGAAAACTGACCTTTTCCAGTCCTGTGGCCACTGCTGAGTTTTCCAAATTTGCTGGCATACTGACTGTGGCACTTTCACGGCATCATCTTTCAGGATTTCTATATATTTATGATTATACTTACAATTCCAGTATATCAACATAGTATATAAATCACCAGGTGATCTATATTTCCTATCTTTGTGCACTAAAAAGGACCACAAAGAATGACTAACCAGTCAGTAGCAAAAAGCATTCCTAGCACTGAGACTAAAATTTCATTTTTCACAAAAAGAAATCAAGGTTTCTTAGAGAAATGGTTGACTCCAGATGTGGGGCAGGAAATGTACACAATGAGCCTAGAACATCTCCCACAGGGGTCGGGTGGACGCTGTCAGAGATAACCGGCTCAGAATCTCTCCAGTCAAAGGCTGTCGTATCAGAAAAGAGAACTGCAATGTTTTGAAACACACTGAATATATTTAAATCCATTCATCCAAAATACTACTAAAGAGACAATAGTTGGTTGCTTTACAAGTATGACAGGAAACCAACCTCTCATTCTGAAAAGGGTTTTCCCAGTAGTTACGTATGGATGAGAGAGCTGGACCATAAAGAAGGCTGAGCACCAAAGAATAGATGCTTTTGAACTGTGGTTGGAGAAGACTCTTGAGAGTCCCTTGGACTGCGAGGAGATCCAACCAGTCCACCCTAAAGGAGATCAGTCCTGAATTTTCACTGGAAGGACTGATGGTGAAGCTGAAACTCCAATACTTTGGTCATCTGATGTGAAGGATGGACTCATTGGAAAAGACCCTGATGCTGGGAAAGATTGAGGGCAGGAGGAGAAGGGGAAGACAGAGGAAGAGATGCTTGGATGGCATCACCAACTCGATGGACATGAGTTTGAACAAGCTCCAGGAGATGGTGATGGACAGGGAAGCCTGGCATGCTGCAGTCCATGGGGTTGCAAAGATTTGGACACGACTGAGCGACTGAGCTGAACTCTTCCTATATGAACTGTATCATGGGGTAAACAAAAGAGTTGAGAGGAAGCTTCACTGTATATGTGCAGACTGAGCACTGATTTCCAATAGACTGCAGCAAGGAAGCTGCTCCACTTCGTATGAAACCCTGACCAAGAAGCAGGTCACCTATGAACGGCTTAGCACCAAGTTCCCTGCAATCATGTGCTTGAATGACAGAATGAGGCAGCGCCCTTTCTGGTTACTTACCATTTCCCAGGGAAGTTTCTCTTTACAGAAGTATTCTAACTAGTAAATGCAGAAGAAGGAATGACAGAGTTAAAATATCACCATCTTGGAACTCTGGTTAAATTAACAGATCCAGGCACTGAGCATGCATGGCTGCTAAAACACAAGTGGCAACAAGCAGACATATGCACCTGCTGACAGAACTCAGTGACGTCTATCTGGTGGGCTCACCAAAGAACAGAATCCAAATATACCCAGGCTTCCAGACCCAGCTACTAATTTACCATAAATACAACAGACAAAAGGGACCTGTTAGCACCATGGAGATGGAGTCAGCAGAATCCAAGACTGCAGTGAACTCTACAGGTCAATGAATCCCATTTTCTTTAAAGGTGTCAGGAGAAAAAGATAGATAGAGGGGCCATTTGTAGCTTTAATAATGCTTACAAGACATTAAGTAAAACAGACAAACACTAAAGCATCGAGCGTAAGGATGGCCATTTGGGTGATAAAACTATAAAGAGAGCAAGGCAGCGACACCATGCAACTCAAGATGGCAATTCCTTCTAAGAGGGCCAACAGGGGCAGGGTAAGCCTCTGATAAAACTTTAATTCTTAACCAAGGTATTGGTTATAAAGGAGTTCACCTTAAAACCATTCATAAAATATATATATTTTTGTCCTGCGCCATCTACCTATGCTATATTCCACAACAAAGGTTAACATTTGTATAAAAATTTTATATTTAAGAGACAAATTATTAGAAACAATTAAAACTAACTAGATTTTTTTTTCTTCCTTCTTTTTTTGGTGCAGCACTATTAAAATTTCCTTTATCTCTGATTAGAAGACAATATATGCTTTTCTGGTAAGCAGCCTGAGGTAACCTCTATAAATGGTTCCCTATTCATTTGACCCAGAAAAACCCACAAAATCATGCAAATCAAGAGGTTCAAATCTTCATGTACTTTGAACAGTCATGAAATTGCCCAGCAGTTAAGGGCATGCATATCCGAAAAAGCCACAAAGTATCTGAAGGATGTCCCTTTAAAGAAGCAGCATGCCATTCCGTCATCATAACAGTGATGGAACTGGTAGGTGTGCACAGGTCAAAGAGAGGGGTTAGATTCAGGGTCGGTGGCCCAGAAAGAATGCTGTTTTTCCTGCACACACTCAAAACTGCAGGGAGTGATGCTGAGCTTAAGGGGCTCGATGCAGACTCTCTGGTCACTGAGCACAACTGGGTGAACACAGCCCCCAGGACTTACAGAGTTTATGGTCGGATCAAGCCATGCACGAGTTCTCCCTGCCATACTGACATGATCCTTACTGAAAAAAAGAGTACATGGTTCTTAAACCGGAAGAGAAGGCTGCACAGAAGAAAAAGATACCCCAGAAGAACCTGAACAAACAAAAGCTTAGGGCCTGGGAATAAATGCCACAAAAAATAAATGCAAATAAAACAAAGAAAAAAAACACAATATGTGAGTAAATATATTAATTGTCCTTTATTATCCAATTCATATAAATATCACTAGACTCTATTAGAAATCCATGTGAAAACATGAAAAGCTAATGACTATCATCTGACTTGAGGATGGAAGTATGAGTTAGTAAATTATATGTGATTCTTAACACTCTGTGGCTATCAATGATATTATCACTTGGGTGAAAGTCAATCAACTTCTAAGAATAGAAAACAGACAGGAAAGCAGCAAATGCACATGATCTGAGGGAAACCAAAACCTTCAGTCAGTGAGTCAGAGGCTGACTATCCAGTTCATCAGACTGATCCAAGCGCAGCGCACAGTGGCTGCGAGGAGCTGACCTGCTAGGTGCCCCAGGCTCCGCCCGGCCAAGTTCATGTGCACAAACTCAACAGCCATAGCAAAGCGCCATCTCTGCACAACGAACCATTCTGTGCTCACATTCACCCACCCAGCATTTCCCTTCTGACTTTCTTCTGGAATTTCTCTGTTTCTCATTCATTTGCAAACAGCAGTGAAGAATGGTAAATAAGACAGGCTGGCTTGGCTGAAATAAGTTCAGGCAACATCAACATGCTTCTCCCCAACATGCTTATTTCTGATTAGTTTTCTTCTCTTTAATTCACAAAGGGTCTGAGAAGCCACATATTGATAAAAAGTCATCTGCCTAAGAAATAACAGAGTCACTGGCTCATAACAAAAGGAGCCCTCTATAGTCTGGCTGGTGGCTCAGTCGGTAAAGACTGCCTGCAGTGCAGGAGACCCGGCTTTGATCCCTGGGTCGGGAAGATCCCTTGGAGAAGGAAATGGCAACCTACTCCAGTATCCTTGCCTGGAGAATTCCATGGACAGAGAAGTCCGGTGGGCTAAAGTCCACGGGGTCGCAAAAGAGTCAGACACAACTGAGCAACTAACAGAGAGTCAAGATATTTTTAGGCCTATCTTTTACTATAGCTAAAGTTCAATTTAAAAAGAAAAACAAAACTCAATTCCATGTGTTACACTATGTGTGCTCATCTATTTCACGTAACAGAGAGCTAGGAAATTCAACCTGAAAAACGGCAGAGCATGTATACAGTCAGAAACTACTCACTCATGTTCAAGGCCGCCATTCCCCCCTGTGGAGCTGCCGGGTAGACATTGGGTACGTTTGTGGTCATGAAATCTGCAATCTGCTGCAATGCCAAAAGGCCTGTGGGATTCTTCCCCTTCTTGAACTGTTCCTGTATCATTGACTCCAATTCTTCACAGAAAGCCTAATAAAAGGCAAATTAAAACAATGAGACACAAGGCAATGCTAAGTATCACACAGACCAAGAATAGAAAACAGACAGGAAAGGCTGCCTTTGCTGCAAAGGCAAATGGGTATTCTCATACATCACTACTTGGAACATAAATTAGTGCATTCTTTTTGGAAAGTCATTTAACATGGTAAAAGCTAAACAATCTGAATAAACATTCTATTCCTAGGAATCATTTCTAAAGAACTAATCAGAGATGTGCTCAAAGATCTATTCGTAAGGATGTTCATTCCAGCATTACCAATAAAAGGGAAAAGAGTTAACAGTCTACATTTTAAACAGAAGATAACTGATTAAATACACTCAGTCACCTTATAATGGAATTCTATGCACACATTCAACATGAAAGGCCAAAAAATTAAATGACACTAGGCACTGAGGACATATAGAGACCAGGAAAACACACACATACACACACACAACTGCTTTGCCATCAAGGAACTTAAAACTTAGTAACGGAAATGCAAAAAGAAAAAGTCCCTAGTACAAGGGACCGACCCTCTGTCTCAGCAGCATTCCGGATGACCCATATGTGCAATACAGGGCCGAGCTCAGCAATGACCAGGGAGCCTGGAAACAGCCACCTGAACCCCAGACCCTGCTCCCAGCAAGCAGTCACCAGCAATGACCTTGTCTGCTGGCTCGGTCCTGACTCCAGACGGTTCAGCAGCCACACTCCCACCTCTCAGCCCTCTGATGGCCTCTCCCCAGTGCCCATGTCATTCAGTTCACTGGGGCCTCCTATTTCCACCCTCACCCAAGCACGTGTGCTCCACACACCCTCTCCGAGCATCCAGCTCACCTGCCCCTCAACCCCATCGCGGCCCTAAGACCTCATGGCGAGCCAGCATCGTCCCCCTCACTCAGCTGAGGCCCTTGGTTTAACACTCTAAGCACAGCCTTGCTTACAGCTCTGCCTCCCTGCCACTTCATCTGGCAAAACCCCAGCCCCAGGTTAAGGTCAACTCTCCACCCTTTCTACTCCTGAGCGCTGGCCCGAGTGCGTTCCCGGCTTCTCTTACCACCTCCCGCACCTCCTCCTCTCGCCTTCTCTGCACTGCTCCACATGCCCACTCTGAGCGGATGACTCCCCTGGTTACTCCATGCAGAACAGAGAATCCTGAAGGCAACTTCACAGGTTCCCTCTCACAGCTCCCAACTGCTGACAGCCACACCCACAGAGAGGGCCTTCCCACCCCTGGCTGCAGCTCGTAACAATCCAAGCTCCTAAACCCCAAACACCAACACTGGGTACACGCTACCCAGGGACCTCCGCACTTACCAGCCTCTTCTCTAGTGTCCTTCTCTTTCCGGATCCCACAGGGCACGTGGGTCAGCAGCGTTCTGACACTGACTGTGTTCTCAGCATCCCTGGTGCCCGGCACAGTGCCTGGCACACACCTGATGTTGAAAGTTTAGTTTCTTCACTCTCTCCTCAGTGATTTTCACCTAGTTACTTAGTGCTTTTACACGGGAAAACTGCTGAAGCCAGGTCTAGATGTTGTCCTGATTCTTTTTTTCCCTCTCTCAGCTCTTCCTCCATGTCCATCAGCAAGTCCTACTTATCCTAGCCTACCTTCTAAATAAAACACAAAGGAGCCTACCTCTCTCCGCCTCCACCACCACTGCCCTGGCCGAGCCACCAGACCTCCTGTTTGAAGACAGCTTCCTCTCTCGTCCTGTACGATGCTCTCTCTACCAGCCCAGAAGGACTTGGACTGAAGAGTGCCGTGCCCACCTGCAGCCCTCCAGTGACCCCCTGCTGTGCTCTGACGGCAGACAGACTTGTGAGCTGAGCTTACAGGCCTCCTAGGGCCTGCGCCCTCCTCCCCTCCAGCCCCGCCGCACCGCCCCTCCCTCTCGCTTCCTGTGCCCAAACCACACGGGCTGCCCTTCCACTCTCCAAGCTCACTCCTATCCTAGGAATTTCAAGTCTGCTGCTCCCTCAACCTGGAATGCTTCTCCCCCACCCCTGCAGGCTGGCTCCTTCCTGTCATTCAGAATTCAAACTTCCTTTCTCAGAAAGGCCTGTTCTAACCACAGTCACACACAATCTAATCATCCAACTGTTTCCTGCACTGTGCTATGTTTGTTGTTTCTTAGTTATCTCCTTCAACTAGAATGTCAAGTCTGAGACTTGCTCTGGGGGCTTACACAGGTGTGACACATATGTCACAGTTGACCAAGGTGTTTACTTAAGACTTATGTACTTTATTATAAGCTACATTATTGAGGAATTATATATGAATAACAATAAAACACATAAGCTTTACATGCCTTGTTTATTGCTAAATGCCCAATTCCTTGCAGATAGAGATAATCAACATATAAAAAAAAACTCAATGAGTTATCTGCCAAGTGACACCTCAAATATCAAGGAAATAAAACAATGGATTAAAATGATAAAATGAGTGACACACACACACAAACGCATCATCAACATGAGCAAACTATGAAAATGAAACAGAGCAGGACCCTATGGTCCTTGCCCCTCCACCATGTCCTCTGCCTTTGGCCTGTGGAAAACTTTAGCCAAAGAATAAATTTAATCAGAGCAGTGAGAAATGCTAAAACAAAGGAAAACAGTCAAAGGAGACCAAACAGTAACAGTATAGTCATTAGGCATAGTCAAGGACCTTGAGTTGTTTCTCAAGGGTTGTAGATAATATTCTGAGCCACATCCTGTGAGCTGTCTCACAGATACTAAAACCCCAGGTGGAGAAGTTAACTACACAATAACCAGACTGTACCCAGGACATGAGCTGCCACAATTTCAAGAAGGGACCACAAAGAAATGGGAACAAGTGCACCCCAGAACTGAAGATTAATTGTACCTAAAACAACCAAGATGATGCTAGTCAGACCACTGATGACCAACTGGAAGATGACTGTTAGAGATGACTGTACTGTTTCTGCATATAACCTTCCCCTCACTCTATAAAAGCTCTCATCCCCTGCTTGTGGGGGGGGGGGGGGGGCAGTGCGGGGGTGGGAGGGGGACTCCAAAGGCAGGAGTCAGCCTTTGGACAGATGTCCACCACTCACCCCATCAGTTGCTGGCATCTGATATAAAGCAAACTTTCCTCTCCACCAACCTGGCCTGCTTATTGGCTTTTGAATGGCGAGCAGCCAGGCCCCCCAACGCATATGTTTTGGTAACGAAAACAGCACTACTTTACCTAAAGATGCAAATAGGAGACACTTAGTTGGGTGTGATTGTGGTTCACATGCCAACCATAATTAAAGGTAAAATCAATCAACAATCAGATACTGCTAAGGCCTATTAAATGCCTAGCATGAAGCTAGGTGTTTTGGAGGAAAGAGTAATTTTTAAATGGTCCCAATATATATACAGACTTCCTGGAAAAGCAGAGAGAGTATAAAAAGGAGAAATAAACATCTCCTATCTTTTATGATATTGAAGCTTTTTCATTTGTTTTGTCTGATGACTTGAACTAAACTTAACTCTTCAACAGCCATACACATACATACACAAGGCACTTATTCCTGTGTTAAGGTAAACAGACTGTAAAAAACACAACAGAGCAGACAAGCTGAAGAAGTGGAAGCAGACAGAGGACCCAGGATCAAAGAAAAAGCTTCTCTTACGGGACTTTGCAGAATCATGGACACCCTCTTTTTTTGCTCCATCATGTTGAAGTCCTGGCGAAGGTCTGGTGCCATGTTCCTCTCTCGCAAGTATTCTGGATTGTTCTCATCCACTCTGTCGAAATACCTCTCTTTGTGAGGGGCTGTGGTCGGGGGTGGTGAGGTCACCACTGCAGCCCGAGTGTCACCATTCATCGCACAATCCTTCTAGGTTCCTAGAGAATCCAAACAAAAGAAAGTACTGTTTTTGTATACATGCCCAGCAGCATTTCATGATGAGCACATTAGCCTGATAAACACAGTCTCCAGCATGAGGACGCCCTAATCGATCCACCAGGCACAGCCATGATGGATGGTACTTCCTCGTGGCTTCTCAGGCACGTGGCTGGCCACCATCTCCCACCCTTCCACCAACCAAGGGCAGTTTTGTCCTTACCACCGTTCTTCAGCAGACAACAGAACAACCTAACAAAGCCACTATATCCTCTGACAAACTCTTTAGACATTAAAATTTTGACCCCAAGATAAAGTCACCACATTGTCCCACACAAACAAGATCTTCTAATAGTAGCACAGTTCATTTCTAGAGACATTTGATTCCTGACATTTTCCCCAAAAAGTACTGGTGGCGACTCTGCAAAGGATTTTCCACACAGGTCAGGGAAGCTGCTTATACATCTGTATTCACAGAAATGGGAAATGCTCACCAACACCACCTTCTCAATGCAAAGAACAGTAACGTCAGGCTCTGAAAATGTCAATATGCCCTTGAGTTGGTGAGTAACCTGAAAAGATGCCCAAATGGCTTAAATTTAACAGTTTGCTAATATAGCTACTTACTATATTTACAAATATTACCATATATATATATAGCTACTTACTACTTACACTCTTTTTATCCCAATCTTTTATTTGAAATGCTGTTTGAATGCATAATTTAATATTCATCTTTTAACTACTAAACCTCTAAACAGCACCTTTACTAATCATACAGACAGTTCAATTTCTATTCTGCTTCTATAACCCACTGGCTCAGCAGTACAGAATCTCCCTGCCAATGCAGGAGATATTGGTTCAATCCCTGTTCCAGGAAGATCCCACATGCCGTGGAACAACTAAGCCTGTGCTCCACCACTACTGAGCCAGTAGTCTGGAGCCTGAAAAGTGCAACTACTGAAGCCCATACGCCCTAGAGCCCACGCTCCCCAACAAGAGAGTAGCACCCGCAAGCCACAACTAGAGAAAGCCCATGTAGTAATGAAGACCTAGCCCAGCGAATAATAAAAAAATTACAATTAAAAAAGAGGCGGCAGCAGAACCAGCATCCAGAACAGTTTTCAGCATATAGCAGGTGGGTAAATTAAAATTTCTGTATAAATTAAAAAGAAGGACATAATCTCAGAACCCACAGGCAGAGTTTTAATGGAGAGTGAGCAGGCAACAGTTCCTCAAGCCACAAAGGCTAAGCAAAGTAGGGATTTAAAAAGGTGATTAAACCAGCAACTAAAACAGTGAACAGTGCCCCTTTCTTACACTATATAGAAAAATTCATTCCAAGTGGAACACAGATCTAAATGTAACAGCAAAAACTATAGAATTCTTACAAGAAAGGGAATAAATCCTTGAGACCCTGGGTTAGGCAGTCTTATATGACACCTAAACGAGAGCAACAAAAGAAAGAAAGAAAAAAAACATAAACTGGCCTTCCTAAAAATTAAAACTATTTGTGCTTCAAAGGATACATAAAGTGAAAAGACAACCCATAAAATGGGGGAAAATTTACAAATCACGCATCTGAGAAAATATTTACATCCAGAATATACAACTTACTTACTTCATAAACTTGAAAGTCATCAAGCAACCTCAACAGATGCCACAACGAACAGAACTGCCAGTTGAGCCTCAATTCCTGACCCACAAGATCATGAAATATGAATAATAAAGCAGTGATTTTAAGTTGCAAAGTCCTGGAACGGTCTGTTATGATGCAACAGATATCTAAAATAATGTTTGTGATAAGGGGAAGGAGAATGAAAGCAGCCAGAACTGCAAGACCCTCTCGCCTCCCCTGTCTGTCAATGTACTATTGTCCTCACTTCACAGGTCACTCAGCTAGGAGGCCAGCAGGGCTGCAGTTCTAAGGCAGGACTCCTGGCGGCAGACCCCGTGTTTGTGGCCTCTAAGGTGTACTGTAATTGATGACGATGACCAAAGGGAGGGAAAACAATGTCCCTGAAGGGACGGCAAGGGGTGGAACTGAGAGCACAGACGCCTTGAACAGGAGGACCCAGTCTTGGGAATCTGGGGCTGGCACTGTTAGCTTTTTAATGTGCACGTGAATCGCCTAAGAATCACGTTAGGATGCAAAGTCACAGCATGAGACAGAGCCTGAGATCCCGCACGTCCATGAGCTCCCTAGTGACACCAATGCCAGTGAACTTGGACCACAATTTGAGTGTGTGTGTTAGTTGCTCAGTCATGCCCGACTTAGACCACAATTTGAATAGTAAGTCTTTAAAGAATAACCAGTTGAAGAAAACATCTTTTTTTAAAGATAAAGGTCAATTTTGATACTGCTTTTCTGAAATCTAAAGATAGGACAGCATACTTAAAGTAACACTATTTTGAGGACTTCAAAGTATAAAAACACTGACTAAAAGACAATAAAACATAATAAGGGAATCAATGGCCTAAAAACCTACCCTTCTCTGAACATATCCTTTAAAATGTTTGTTTCATCTGTTTAACCTAGTTTGTTCTATAAGAAGGACCCAAAAAACAAAATATTATTCATGGTTATCTGGCATTTCTTCATTAGATATAAATGAAGCTGATCATTCTGAGCCAATGATAAAAATGTTCCACTTGAATGTTTCAGGGAAAAAAAAATACAAAAGATTACACAATATTAAGAGTTCTCTATTACCAAATGAGTCCCAATTTTAAACCATTTTCATCAGTAAATAAGACAGAGGGGAACATTTTAGTGGCAACTATAGCTGCTTCCTGGTTCCCAGAGCTGACTGAAAGAAAAGAATCTTTGTAAAACCAACATGTTAAAGATAAGGCAGAGATTGCTTTCAATTTATTACAAATTGCTATGTGAATGGGATAAGACAAAAAACTGAAGACCAAATATACATGTGCTCCATTCCTTCATAAGGAAGTCTATAAACTTAAGTCAAAATATACATATTCTGAGCCCAATAAACAAGAATAAACATAATTCCACTTTTAAAGTACAAAACCTGTGTTTGTTTTTTTATCAATTATAGCTTCAAGTTTCACTGATGCAGTTTTTAAGCGTGTGTTAAGACAGCAAATTTTTCTAGGAAAATCTCTACGAAGAAGTCATTACTTAACCCAAATTTTTTAAAAAGAAATGGAAAATATACAGATGAAAAAAACTTCCTGCAACGTTAGGATAATTTTTAAATAGTTTAAAAAGATCAGTGTCCAACAATACATCAATGGTTGTAATGTAATCTGTTCAATACAGTACTATGAAACAATGAATATTCTTTAGCATAACGTACCTGAGATTATATAACATGTTTAAGTGAAAAACTATAATTTCCCATTCTACTACATAAAGTTGTCAATATTATCACTGCAGTCACACATAGAAAAGATGATACAATGGCAAATAAGCTGAATAAACTGATTCAAAAGAAGTGGGGATTAGTGCCCCTCTAAGGATGATGTTCCCCATCACAATGGTATATATATAAAGCTGCTATAATTTAACCTGTGTAAATATTTTAAGATTTCACCAATCTTAAAATGTTGATACCCCAATCAGTGAAATCTGAGAATAGTACTTTCAAATAAACAAACATACACACCCAACAGAACCCAAAAGTCTGGATGAACCAAACAGACAAGTGTGGCCTGCCCACAGGACACTTCATATTCATCCACTTCTCCCCATCTCTACCACATCATTCTAAGCTAGATAATTAGCACTCACCTCCTGGACACACACTAGCCTCCTCTCATTAGCTTCCCTACTGCCTTTCTCTTTAACATTGCCCCCACCAACCCATTTTTCACAGTGAGTACAGACAGTTTCTTTTTTTTATTTTTTTCAGACAGAATTTCAAAATGTAAATCAGAGCATGTTATTCACCCCCTTACTTAAAACCTGACAAGGTCTCAGGAGGATCTTCGCCAGATCTTGCTTCAAATAAAGTGTAAAATAAAAATCTAAAAATTACATTTGAGACAGTTAGAAATTTGAACAATAACAGGAATTGGATAGCTTTAAGTAATTACTGTTTACTTTAGGTCTCATATTATGGTTATAGTAGATACATACAGAAATGTTTACAAACAAAATGACGACATATGGAATTTGCCTAAACCACGCATGGGATACAGGGAGAGTAAGGGTTACACAAAATAAACAATACTGGCCATGAGTTAACGACTGCTGAGACCGGATGAAGGATAAACAGAGTTCACTATACTGTTCTACTCCATGTGAGTCTGAAATGCTCTTAAAGCGCCTCCAGATCTTACATAAGCTACTCTCCATCTGCCTTCAGATGAGCACATTTCAGCATGCTCTTTCACACAGATATGACTGATATTGGAATAAAAGGATACTTTAAGATTAACTTTCCTTTTCTACTAACATCCCACCTAACCACTCTGCCGAGAATGTTATTTATTCAGGAAATAACAGAAAGCGTGCCCTGGAATATTCTTTCGTAGCAAAGGTGTTCCAGCTCCAGTATGATTCACCCACACTAATGTGTAACTAAACCTCAGATTAGAAACCAAACACAGTTTTGCATTTCTAAAACATCGAATGAGCTAATTCTAAAGCTCTGGGGGTAGATTCAATTATTTCTTGGCACCTCACTTCTGGCACAGACATTTTGAGAACTATTCCAACCATTCACATGATTTACTTTTGAATTCCTAGAAACAATACTCAAAGCAAAGGCTGAAACAAGAAGGTGGCCATGAACAAAATTCTCTAGGTAAATCGAATGCTAGAAGACCCAGAGGGTCTTTTCAGTTTCTAACTGTTCTTTATGCTTTCTGAGCTCAGAAAGCATAAAGACAAGGAAAATAAACCTGGAGGTAGCAAACATGCTCATGTGGTAATAACAGCGGCAGTCTCTGCTGGTGTCTGTGGCCCCCTCATCCGCAACTGCAGACAGCCTTTGGAACTGTCAACAGGAAAA